TCCCCGCTGCCCACCTTTCCCATCAGCCCCAGCACATCTTTGGAGTCCTGAAGTCCTTGCTCCAGGTACTTGATGGATTTCTTCACAGTGTGCGGCTTGTCCGAGGTGAGGTCCACCCAGCCTCTCAGCACGTAGCCCTGGGATGCGAGCAGGGGGGAAGATGAAGTCCACGGTCCTGCAGAACCTCCAGTCAGCCCGTCTCTCCTGCCTCCTGTCCCACCAGGAGTCACTGCACATCCGAGGCCCTGCCAGCTCAGCTGTTTGCAGATCCCAGCGGCCCTGTGGCTCTCGCTGCAGGCATTAGTCCCCACTGTTACCCCGGCCTGGAAGGCCCCGCCCAGCACGACCTGCCAAACCAAATCCCTTCCCCTGATTAACTGCCACTGGTCTATAAACCTCAGCCAAGGGGGCTGTCTCTGACCCTCGGGCTGGCGCTGGGGCTGGGCCCTCCCTGTGACCCCCGGAAGCTCTCTTAGCTGTTCTCACCCACCTGTCTAGTCTCGTCACTGCCTGTTTACTTTCCACTGGGCTCAGGAGGCCGACACGGGTGGTGCCAGGGCACAGGGCAGCTCTTGCTCTCTGCAGGTGAAGCTGGGCGTGCCCTCTGACCAGGTGAGCAGGAGCTGGTCTGAGCTCACCGGCCTTGGCCTTGCCGGCTCCCCTGCAGCCGTCACCCAGCCTCTCCTGGCAGATGGGGCAGGCAGGTGTGGGAGGGGAGATCGCAGCAGCCGTGGGGGGGGCCTGCCCTGAAGCACCCACCTTGGCCCAGACCAGTGTTTCTCAGCTCCCCATCACTGCCCTCCTCAGGAGCCTCTGTAGACACTTCCCCCTAGTCATTCATTCCCTTCCCATGCAAGAAATTTCAATATTATAGGCATCCTGTGTATGTGTTGTACATACATCTGTGTTTTATACACAAAGAGTAAGATTTTTTCACCCCCTCTTCCTAGAACCAATTTCCACTCCACTGTGTGTGTGGGGGGGAGGGGGCAATGTGTGTGTGTGCATGTGTGGGGCAGTGTGATATCGCCCATGCTGAACCTGCATAGTGCAGACTAGGGCTTCAAATTCTGCCCTTAGGCCCTGACTGGTGTGGCTCAGTGGATTGAGCACTGCCTGTGAACCAAAAAGTCGCCAGTCCGATTCCCAGTCAGGGCACATGCCTGACTTGTGGGCCAGGTCCCCAGTAGGGGGCGCGTGAGAGGCAGCCGATGGATGTTTCTCTCCCTCTCTTTCTCCCTCCCTTCCTCTCTCTCTAAAAATAAAGAAATAAAATCTAAAGGAAACAAAAACAACTTCTGTCCTTAGGGCAGATCACTGCACGGGAGACGGAGGGTGCATTAGCACCCTGCTATCCAGCAGGTCACTGCACGGAGCAAAGGCAGGCCCAGTGCACTTGGTTCGTTTAGTTTTAGAAAACAAAACAAAAAGCCAGGAAACTTGGACTCTGAGGTAAAAATCTTTTGATTTCTAAATGTTAGCAAAGAATTCAAGATTTTTAGAATATATAGGACAGGCCATAGGACATCTACCTGCAGATGGGACTCTGGACAAACGCCACTGTGTACTGAGCTGAGCCCTGACACAACGTGGGTGGGGACACCTTGAGACCCAGGGTCTCGCCAGTGCCAGGGTGGGGCCTTCCCCCGCTCCCATGACCCTCCGTGGGGGGACTGGCCACCCCACGAGGGTGTGTCGGGATGCTGCTTTCTCCGGCTGCAGCCCCACAGTGCCCGCGGGGAGTACCTCTCTGGAGCTACTGGAGAGCTTCAGCATGCGGTCGATGTACTCCTTGGCCCTGTCATGGCGGCCCATGAGCCAGAGGAAAAGGCCGGCGTAGTACAGGGCAGTCCCGCTGGCCGTCTTGCGGATTTCCTTCAGGCTGCTCTCGAGCTCCTGAACCGCTTCCAGGTCTGCGAGTCCAGGAGAGGAGAAGGGGACCAGTGAGGGCGAGGAGGTGGGCCTCGTCCTGCAGGAGGCACTTGAGGGCGCCACGGCCAGTGGCCCGGGCCTCACCTCGGGCTGGCTGTCTGAGGTTTATCTTTTCCCCTCGGTGCCCAGCAATACGCTGCGCAGGCAGACCAAGGCCGAATCCCCCACCTCAGGCCCATGATGCATGTTGGGCGGGGAAATAGTAGTTTGTGGTCTCTTGGAACCTCTCTACAGAAGTGGAGATTAGCAGTAGAATTATTTATATCAGCTTGATTTTTCTTGACAATATCTTGGCAAAGGAAAGGGGGGTATCTCCCCAGCTCCTGGGATCTGGAAGGAGAACCTGTCCCACTGCTGTGCTCTCTCAATGGGGCCTGGGCATGGGGAGGCCTCGCAGGGGAGGGGAACAGCAGCCACTCCTCAGGGGCCAACAGAACCTGCAGTCACCAGGGCACACACTGCTGTCTGCAGCGCTGGAGGGGCAGGGTCTCTGCAGCAGGACCATCTTTCCCTGGTGGGACCAGGCCCAGCCGAGCACAGCTGCACTCACCGATGGTTTCACAGTACTTGTGAGCATAAATGAGGGCCATGATGGAGCACAGGGACACATCTGGGTGATTCCGAATGCTCTCCAGACTGCTGATGGCGTCCTGGATGTGTTCTGCAAAGAGAGACCACGTGGTTATGCTCTTGGGCTCCAGGCTCCACGGTATATACATGGGGGCTCCTATCAGGGCTGACCCAAGGCTCGGCGTCACCTGGCTTCACCCAGAATCAGAGGACTAACTGGTCCTAAAGCTCCCCAGTGGCCTGAGGTCCCTGAGGCTGAAGCTCCCTGAGTAGGCAGGTGACACCATGGTCCAGACTGCTGGGGCTGGAGGCCTTGGAGCTGAGGATGTATTCGTGAGTATTCACAGGAATACTTGAGAGGCTGAGATTTTTGACTTGGCTCAGTTTTGAAGAAGGACCTCAGGGTATTTCTTGCTAGTTGCTCAAGAGCCAGTGATTACATTAATCCCTCCATGTCCACTGATGGGGGCCACCGGCAGCTCAGTCCATCCCTAGCCCAGAACCACCTTCTAAATGGCAATGAGTCAGCACCCGCACAGGGCCCATTCCTCCTCCTGCTCCTGCACCATAGCTGCAGGTACCCACACCCACCGCTTCCTCCTTTTCCTGCACTTCCAGCTCTCAGCTTCCAAGCCTGGGATCAGTCCAATAATCATGCAGCTATCTCTCTGTCCAGATGGGGAAACTGAGGTGCAAAGCCACAGTGGCGAGCCCTGTGAGGTCTCAAAGTCAACTAGATATAAATTGCACGGGCTTCTGTGGCTTCACCTGGGGATTAGGCACTGAGCGTAAGACTGTTTCCAGGGCTGGGGTAGAAGTGGGCACCTGGGTAGAGTCGGTGTTCGTGCTGGACTGGTGCCCAGGTCAGGAGGCCAACACTGACCGGTCCTTACCTTCCCTGAGGACGCCATAGGCTTTAAAGAACTGCAGCACAGGGTCATTGCTGAATTTCTCCAGGCCCCTGGCCGCAGCCTGCTGCACATGGTGGAAGTACTTTTCCTGGCTGTAGTAAATGATCCCCGCCTGTGGGAGGGAAGACATGGTGGCAGTGGCCCTTCCCTGTCTCTGCTTGACCCGCTCCCTCCCCTGTTCCCTTGCCCTCATTTCTGTACAAGAAAAAGAAAGAGAACAATCAAGCCTCATTCTCTTCACGAGCCCCAGGAGCAATTCCATGCAGTTTTCCCGGGAAGGAGTTTGGAGGTGTTTGTTTTGGAATTGTCCACAGATTCTGGTTTGAATGTAGAATATTCAACTCAAGCTTTTTTAGGAAGGAACTAAGGGGAAAGAGGGAACTAGTAATAAGAATTACATCAGTAGTTAGTTACAACTTATTGTGGACTAACCACTTGCTGGAAACTGTACCCAGGGCTTTACATGCGTTATCTTCTGTATTATTCTGTACATATCCTTCCCAGTGAAGCGAGCTGAAGGCCAAGGAGACTGGCTTGACAAAGGTCACAAAGTAACAGACTCTGAGATTTCAAAGCGTGAGTCTCACTTCCCCTAAGGTTTGTGGGTGCTGGGGTTGGAGACAGATATGGTTGAATTGTAACAGCCTTGTAGGCCATGTGAAAGGGCCCAGACATCATCCTGAGGGTAACAAGAAGCAGGTGGAATGGTTTTAGGCAGGGGAGGGATGTAGTCAGACATGTTTTTTGCAAAACTCACTCCGGGGGCTCTGCATGTGTGTGTGTGTGGGGGGGGCGGGTATTGGGTAGGGGGTTCTGCTGGGGAAGAGAGCTGAAGCAGGCACACCAGCTGAGGGTGGGACTGTTACAGATGCCCAGGGGAGAGTTGGCGGTGATTTAGGACTAGGAGATAAAAGAAGTGGGTGACCTCAGGAGACATTTGGGAGCTGACATTTCTTGCTGATAGATAGGATGGGGGCACAGGTATGAGGAAACGTTAAAGCTGGGGGGCCAAATGGTGGTGCGGTCTACTGAGGTGGGGGGGCACGGAGGAGGCACAGGCAGGGGAAGAGGAGATGATGAAAAGATGATGGAGATGGGTTTGGGTGAGTTGGTTTGGGAGAGCTTGGGGACAGGGCTGCGTGGGGATGCTGATTTGGGGGTGAGGACCGCAGAGGATGCACTCGCCAGGGAGAGTGAGGCAGGAAGAGCCAGGACCGCGGGTAGCGGCAGAGGATAGCGAGGGGCGGGTAAAGAGGACTCCAGGAGCGGTCCGAGAGGCGGCAGGAGAACAGCAGGGCGCGGGGGTCGCCGGGCCAGGGGCGGAGAGTCCCAAAGGGAGCGTCGGGGCAGCGCCAGGGCCACGCACCATAAGGGAGGAATCACTGCTGCTCATCTCCGGGCGCTCGCGGCTCGGAGTCCGGGTCCGGTCGGGGCGAGCGGGTCCGGATTCCTGAATCAGGGGCCGGGGCACACCTCTCGCAGCCGGAAGTTGGAGGAGCGCGCGTCCTTGGAGACGGAGCGGCCGGCCGGTTGCTAAGAGCGTCAGACTCCGGGGTGGGCGTGGCAAAACGTCCACGTGACAAGGCGCTGGTAATTGAGCGCCGAGAGGGCGAGTCCGCGCTGGTGGCGCCGGGTCCGCGCTGCGGTTCGGGACGCCGGCGCGGGGGCCGGGCGGCTGCCATGGGGCTGGGCTCTAGCACCGAGCAGCCCGCGGAGACTTCCGAGGGCTTCCACCTGCACGGGGTGAGTCGCTTCAGCGGCGCCGGCGATCGGGGCCGGGCGCCCGCACCGACGCTCTGGGTCTCCTGATCGCCGGCCGGACGGCGACGGAGGCGGGGACCGGCCCTAGTTTGGCCGCCAGGGTGGAGGGGGATACTCCGTTCTCGGTGGGAGCCGCCCGCGAGGGGCGACCCCGCGGCACCCCTGGCGCCCCGGCGCGTCTGCGGCCTCAGTCGCCCCGGACACCCGTTCCAGCGCCAGCTGTGCAGGAAGCGGGCGCGTTTCCTGGTCAGGTCCGGCCGCCCGGAGTAGCACGCATCCTGGGTGAAGACGGCGCCTGGTCCAGTCGGGACGCACTTGTATACACTTGGGTGACATTTATTGTCTCCTGCTGGTGCCGCGCTCCGGGCCGGGGGAGACAGCCAGCAACTCCGATGCCCCGGCGGTCCCCGCTCTTGGGTACACGGGGTCCGGGAAGCCAAGTGGACGCCGGCTGCTGGTGGCCCGCGGGCGCACATGACTCCCCGGGTGGGGTCGGGAAGGCTTCTGGAGCTCGTGGACTAGTGGAACCAGCCAGGGCAAGTGGGAGCGGGAGAAGCCCGCAGAAGACTAGGGGAGGGCGTGTACCGCAGGGGGAGGGTCCCCGGATGAAAGATCCGGGAGAGGCGCGATAAGGCAGCGCTGAGAAGAAGGCCCTTTCGGTCTCGCTGCAAGGAGGTATGGGTGAGCAGCCCTGGGGGACGTGGGGATGGAGTGGGGTTCCTCGAGTCTGAAGGTGAGGCGAGGGGCTCGCAGCCGATGGAGATTTGGGGTCAGGATTTGTACTGTGGAGAGGGAGGGGCTGTAACCCAGGTGAGGGGACCCAGAACGGGGAAGGACCCCTTTTCCCTTGGCCAGCGTGGATGGCTGCACAGACCGTGCAGACTTGTCAGCGTGGTGCGCGGCTGTTGCGTGGCCTCTGTGTTGTGATGGCAGGCTCTGTTGGGAGGGTGGGGAGGGAAGCTAAAGAAAGGGTTGACGAGAATGAGAGCTGTGCTGGCTTCAGGACCCGAAGGTGACAGGATCTGTGCTTGGTGATGGGCTTTCTCTGGCGGACATCACGGTGAGGCACCGCGCAGGAAAAGTGGGCCGTGGGATGCATCCAGCAGGAGAGTCTTCCAACAGGTCTGAAGGAAAGCGGGGGAACTGAGGATATTGGCAAAGGGAAGGGTGGGGGCGGAGACTGGAAGGTCGCCGCGGAGAGGGACAGGGTGGAGAGATTCAGGAATTGGAGGTCAGCGTTCACAAGAACAGGTACGTATTTTGCTGTGTATAATGCACACTTTTTGGCCCACATATCCGAGAGAAAAATAAGGATGCATGCGTGTTATACATGAGTAGCACCCGAAATACCTTGTATCTGTTCTTATGTTTTGTAACTATCTGTTACATCAAATTTCTTGCACCACCATATGTTCAAAAATAAATGCTACACTTTCTTTGTAATACACAGACAAGTATCTACATATAAGTAAGTAAATAAATAATTGAATTAAAATAACAAAAGATTTTTCCCCCTTTAAAGTTTGGGCCAGAAATGTGGGTGCGCATTATACACGGCAAAACACGGTAGTTCTGGGCTCCATTCCTTGTGGCAGTGAACAGAGCAGGCATCTTCCAGTTCTTACCTTTGCATGGCAGCAGGGAGACAGACAAGAAACACAGTCAAACCTCGGTTCTCGAAGGTCTCCCCGCCCCAGACAGTACCGTCCTCAACTAAGGTGCTCACGGGAAAAGTCTTGGTGGTGGAACTTTGGCTCTCCACCCGACGACACTTTTCTGCTGATGCCTGTATGATCTTCCCTGTGTGACTCGGTTTTCGCGCAAACCGCTGCTCCAACAACCTTCCAGAACCAAGTAAGCTGGAGAACTGAGGTTCCACTGAAACGTACAGTAGGGGGCGACCACTGCTGGGAGAGACACAAAGCAGGGTGAAGGGACATAGAGTGGGGTGTGGGTGCTGTTTCGGGGAGAGGGGTCCACGGAGACCTTTGATGAGGTCACATTTGGTAGATACCTGGGAAGAAAGTTAGGACACAATGTAGGTGTCTGGGGGAGGAGTGTTCTGCGGGGTGGGGGGAGAGTTGGAAGGGTGGGAGGCCCTGAGGTGGGGGGGGTGCTCGCTGTATCTGAGGAGGAGCGTGGAGGAGAGGCCGCTGTGCTGGGACAGTGTGGCCTGTGTGAGGAGGAGGCGGGAAGGGTGAGGCCCAACCGCGTGGCCTTGCGTGCTGTCCTGAAGATTTCCGATTTTATTCTGAGACGTGGAGCCATTGGGAGGTTTTAAGTGGAGGTGTGACATTACTTGTTTACGTGTTTAAAAACTGAAGAGCAGGCGTGCTGCCTTCTAGAACTATGGGCGTTTTGCTGTGTGCCCAGCATACCCGGGAGGCCCCTGCCTTCAGGGAGCCGGCCGCAGTGGGGGGCTCAGCGGGAAACGGAAATGCCAAGTGGTCGGAGCAGGCTCTGGGGAGGGGGTGTGGGCGGGGTTCTTGGGGTCAGATTCCAGAGTACTGAGCACTAAGTGGGGGCTAGGAAAAGGGTCAAATGAGGGGCAAAGCAGATGGTGCTGTCCCCTGGCGCCCAGCCAGCCCTCACGGAGCGTGAGCTGCTGTCATTGTCAATCACAGGAGGTTCCCAGATGGGAAACACAGGTGGGGGCTGTGGGCTGTGGGCTGTGGGCTTGGGTGTGATGGGAGCCCCCAAGGGAGAGCCAGGCAGAGCCGTGCCTGTTGTGGGACTGGGGAGGGGGGTGTGTCGGGGGTGCAGTGGGCAGGAGCACAGATTATTCCCGCTGCAGAGCCGTGGCGCGTGATGCCAGGGCCCAGGGCAAGGGCAGTGAGTACAGCCAGACAGAGGACGAGGCCATGGGAGAGAGGGCAGGCCTGGGAGGGGGCTGGGCTGGGCCTGGACACGGTTGTGTGTGTGTGGGGGGCAGCCTCTGGACCCGCTTAATGCCTGGAGGGCAGCGGTAGTGGGCAGGTGCTGGGTGGCACGGCTCCGGGAGCAGGGTCCTGTGTTTAATCCCCGGCCCACAGGCCACGTGCAGCCCGACACGAAATCGTAAATTTACTTAAAACCTTTTTTTTTGCTCACAGTTTTCATTAGTGTTTCTGTATTTAATGTGTGGCCCAAGACAACGCTTCTTCTTCCAGTGTGGCCCAGAGATGCCAAAAGGTTGGACACCTCCATTACCAGAGGGAGGTGGAGTGACTGGGGAGAGGCCCCGAGCAGGGACACCTCTCCCCAAGCTACCTCTCACTATTGCCCTCTGGTGTTCAAAAGCCACCTAGTGCCAGCTTTCCCCCGGAGGGGTGGGGAGCAGGGCCTCCAGGCAGTTGCCCTCCGAGCCAGGCTCACTAGGGCTCGCGTGGCCGCTGCTCCTGGAAGCCATGGCGGCGTCTGCAGGCGGCAAGCGGGGGTCCATCCGGTGACACTGCCGCGAAGGAGTCCTGATTCCAGGGGCGAATTGGCTTTGCTCCGAGGGCTCAGTGGTGAGCTCTCCTTCAGCTTGGGGCAGGCGGGGCTGCAGGGGCTGGTGGGTGGCAGGAGCCGCAGGGTTTCAGCACCAGAGGCCCCGTGAGCCCTGTGCCCGCTGGGCTGGGGCCTGGCGGGTACCGAACCGGCAGGGCATCAGCTGCGCACAACCAAAGGCCTGAGGGTGTGGGGCCCAGCGTCGGGGATAAAGGCCACGTTGTTTGAGCAAGGCTCTGTCAATGGGGCCTTTGAGAGGGACTTCTGCCGGAGCTGCGGCCCTGGCTGTGCAGGGCGGGGCTGGGAGGGAGCACCCATGGGCTCCTGGTGCAGATGTCCACCCCCTTCCGGCCCTGCTCACCAGGCTGTCCAGCTTAGGTTCTTCCTGCCCCCGGGGTCTGCTCGCCTCAGCTGCCATTCCTCGCCAGCTCCCATCACCTGCTGGGCTGGCCTTGAACCTGTCACCATGGGGCCTGGGGCCCTCTGGGATCTGGCCACAGGCTGCCTTCCACGCTGCCTCTTTCTGGACACAGCCCTGGTTCTAGCGATCCTGGGGCCTGCCCGCTTCCACTGGACGTTGGGCCTTGCCTCTCTGTCCACATCTAAACCTTGCCGGGAAGCCCTCCTGGCTTCCTCCATAGGCCTGTGCCACCCTGCTCCACGTGGCCGACAAGTGGCCCCCCAGGACAGCCCTACGAGGCCTCTCTAGGAGCGTGACCTGCGGCTCATGCCCAGGGGAGAGTTATTTCCCTAAAGAGGAAAATTTATGCCCGGGAACGGAGTGAGAGGGGATGGAATTCACCTTGACAGTGGCCACGGGTGGCCGCTCCAGAACAGTTCATGCTGGTGCCTGTTTCCTCATCAGGACACAGGGAGTGGTGAAGGTCCCGGAGATTGAGGGCTGGGGCTTCTGGGAGGTCACCAGGCCGGTGGTGGGTGACTGGCCCCCGCCCTGCGACAGGTGCAGGAGAACTCGCCAGCGCAGCAGGCGGGCCTGGAGCCCTACTTCGACTTCATCATCACCATCGGGCACTCGCGGCTGGTGAGCCTCTCCCCCTGTCTCGGCCTTGCCGTGTCGCTGTGTGCATGTGCGTGTCTGCCCAGCTCCTGCCTCCCTTTGCTTCCAGAGGGAGGCCCTGCCAGCGCTCAGCTCCTGAGCTCTCCGGGGTGGGCTGGAGGCCAGAGGACTCCTGGAGCGGCCTCAGGGCCTAAGGAGCCTGGTTCCTGGGGCAAGAGAGGCCTGCGGGCTCCGGCCGAGGGGCAGCGCAGAGTGGGACAGCACTGTGGGGGTCCCCTGGGCCCGGGGGTCTCTTTGCTTTGTTGTATTTTCTGTGGTGGGGGAAGGGGCTGAGGGGGGCAGGTTTAGCACTGCTTGGGAGTGGGTGGGGGGTGGTGGTTACAGTGGCTGCAGGCCCAGGCATGGTCTGTGACCTGGGCCCAGACGCCACCCCAGCCCATCCCACACCAGGCCCGTGCTGGGGCAGCTGGCCACCATGGCCCTTGCCCCATCTCAGTCCCAGACTTGTTTGAGTGGCCCGGCTGGGGTGTGCATGGGGGGTCCTTGGAGTCAGCCCTCTGCCCCCATAGAACAAGGAGACCGACACGCTGAGGGATCTGCTGAAGGCCAACGTGGAGAAGCCCGTGAAGCTGGAGGTGTTCAACATGAAGACCATGAAGGTGCGCGAGGTGGAGGTGGTGCCCAGCAACATGTGGGGCGGCCCGGGCCTGCTGGGCGCCAGCGTGCGCTTCTGCAGCTTCCACAGGGCCAACGAGCACGTGTGGCACGTGCTGGTGAGTGGGGGCGGGGCTGCCCGTGGGTGTGGGTGGGGGGCAGTGAGTGGGCTCCCGGGGCCTGTGCTGCATGGGCAGGGTGTGCAGGGGAAAGGGGATGGGGCCGGGCACGTGGGCGTGGGGGGCGTCGCTGGGTCGGGGTGGAGTGTGGGGGCAGCTGGGGTAGGGCCGAGAGCCAGGGGGTCTGTTGGAGGACTCCCTGAGTGCAGGGTCCGGCCTCTCACTGGAGAGAGCTAACCCAGAGGGGCAGCTGTAACCCAGAGGGCTAACCCAGAGGGGCAGCTCTTTACTTGCCCAGGTGCCTTGCTACTTGTTAGCCACGTGACTTGGGGCATTTTTCTACCCTCTGTACTAACAATTTTCAACTGGTGTGCCACAAGAACTTTAAAAAAGGCAATACCTGAGTAGTCAGGGGCACTGGCCTCTTTTCCCTTAGACTGTCAAAAAAAAAAATGACAACAGCCAACCCAACAATAGCTGACTGGTGTGAATGAATCAAAATTATATATATTTTTTGTCAGATTGGCAAAAAAATACATTTTTTGTTGTGGCACAGAATTTTAGTCATTTGTTTACGTGTGCCGTGAGATCACAGAGGTTGAAAAATCGCAGCTTTAAACGGGTCCGTATTTTGAAAGGTGGGGCTGCCATCTACTGGAAGGCGGGTTGTACTGCAGAATGCCGTGGCTGCGGCTGCTGCTGGGGTCTTGCCATAGAGTGTTCTTTCCTGGCAGGTCCCGGGGGTCTGACCTTAGTGAATGAATCTCAGTGACTGCATTGTCACAGATGTTGCCATTAGTGTCTGTCACAGATACATGTGCACATGTGAGATGCGCGTCCACTGATGGTGCCCAAGTTCTCAAGAACGCTTGGTCCTCCAGTTTGGTGACAAGGAGGTGCCCTTAGTTGGAAACTGGCTGATTTTTGTAGCCTCCCCTCCGCTCACGGACTTCTTGGGGGAGGTTTCTCGGCCTTTTTTCAGCCTGCTGCAGTGCGTCCATCAGTGCCCCCCATGGGGGGTGGGGAATGACGCAGAGCCCTTTGCATCTCTCTAGGAGATGGGGTGGTCGAGTTTTCCGGGGCCCCCTCCAATGGAGAAAGCAGTCCTTGTTCCCAGTCCTGCTCACTGCCTTCTCCCCCCCACCCCCAAACCCCTGCTTAGGGGTCTTCAGCCACACGCCTACGGCATTAGCAGCAATGCAGCTGGGCACCTACTGCAGGCCAGAGTGTGGTTTTCATTCTCTGCATGTATTCTTTTTAAAGCCTTCTCAGCAACCCTGTGAGTAAGCACTACATGTCCCACGTTTAATCGTTGGGAAACTGAGGCTGAGGGGTTAAGTATTTGTCCAGAGTCACCAAGCTAGCAGTTGGTGGAGTCTGGAGTTGAACCCAGGGCAGATTCTGTGTCGTGTTGTGAGCTGTGCCCCAGTGCTGCCCTCTGCTGGGCAGGTGTTGGACCTGGGGAAGGCAGGGGAATTCAGGAGTTAAGACAGAAGGACAGTCTGGGCTTAAGGCCTTGACCTGGGGACAGAGGACAAGTGTCCTCCTGATTATTACCTGGAGAGGCAGCTCCCCAGCCCCCTTCCCCCCCACCACTCCAGGAATGAGGCCGACAGTTCTCAACTCTTCCGCCAGGATGTGGAACCCTCTTCGCCCGCCTCCCTCGCTGGCCTGCGCCCCTACACGGACTATGTGATCGGCTCCGACCAGCTGCTGCAGGAGGTGAGGAACCCAAGGCCCAGCCCTCGCCCGGCCGCTGGGTGGGGCGTGGAGACAGTGGTGCTGGCCGTGGGGCTGCCAGGGCCAGTGCGGGGCGCAGGGCTCAGGTGCTGTGTGTTTGTCACAGTCTGAGGACTTCTTCACCCTCATCGAGTCCCACGAGGGGAAGCCCTTGAAGCTGATGGTTTACAACTCCGAGACCGACTCCTGCCGGGAGGTGTCCGTCACTCCCAATGCCGCCTGGGGTGGAGAGGGCAGGTACTTCCTGGGCTGGGGTAGGGGAGGCTGCAGGGTGGGGCCCTGGATGGGTCTAGCCAGTGGGCGTGGACCCCAGAGTCCCACGGTGGGGGCGGAGGGCTGGGCCCTGGCCCCAGGGACCCTGAGGCTGGCCGTTGGTCCCGGAAGCACCCTCTCAGCCCCCTCACCGCCCTCGGTGGGTGGGGGTGGCAGAGATTGAGTGGGAGGGCTGCGGGACCACTCCTGGACTGAACGTTTCTGGATTTGGGCAGCCTGGGGTGTGGTATCGGCTACGGATATCTGCATCGGATCCCAATCCAGCCCCCCAGCTACCACAAGAAGCCACCTGGTGCCCCGCCACCCGGTACCCCACCATCTGGTACCCCACCACCTGGTACCCCACCACCTGGTGTCCCGCAACCTGATACCCTGCAACCTGGTGCCCCACCACCTGGTACCCCATCACAAGGTGCTCTGCCATCTGGTACCTTGCCACCTGGACCCTCCCCCCAGGACTCTCCTGCCCCTCCTGGCCCAGATGCGGGCGCCAGGCAGGGTGGCTACATGGAGGTACGTGGGACACACCTGTCTACTGGGGGAAGTGGGGAGCTTCACATGGACAGAGGGGCCTGTCTGCTGGGGAGAGAGAAGATTCTGGAGGCTTTTCTCACTGGGGCGTGTCTGTTGGGGCCCTTTGGAGTCCCCTCTGCCTCTGGGACCTACTGGGAGTGCACGGACCCATTCTGGGACAGTGAGACCCTCTTCGGTTCTCCTGCCACTTAGGCTGGGAGGTGAGGGCAGTGGCGAGGCCCTCGCTGTCATTTATGTTTTGTGAGTGGGCACCTGAGGCTCAGAGGGGGGCAGAGCTGTGCTGTGCCTCAGTGAGTCGGTGGTCGAGCTGGGCCAGGGGCCAGGGGCCGGGTGCCCGGAGCCCCAGCTGGGCTGGTTGCCTGCCTGGGTGTGCAGGGGGGTCTGGCCATGCCTTCATGGCTGTCGACTGAGCAGGTCACCCGAGTGCCTTCGGGCCCTGGGCTGGTGCCTGGGATCTGTGCTGGCCACACATGAGGCCTGCTTTCCAGGCACACTGGAACTTGAGGAGGGCCCTCGCTTCCTGTGGGTCATCGATGCAGATGGCACCTGGGCTCCTCAGCAGCAGGGCAAGAGTGTTCCCTCTCCCTGTCGGAGCTGCAGGGCAGGCCGGCCAGGCCCCTGTCTGACGTTACTTCACCTGCAGAGAAGGGGCTGGTCACCGAGGCTGCTCGCTGCTCCTCCAGGCGGAGCAGTGCTTCTGGGGCAGGCGGGGGCTGGGGGCTGGGCTGGACGACACCGGCTGCCCTCTCCCTCCCCCCTCTCCTTCCCCGGCCCCGCTAGGCCCTGCTGCAGGCACCCGGCTCCTCCGTAGAGGGACTGCTGCCTGAGCCTGCGAGTCTCAGCTATGGTGCGCCCGACCTTGGGGGGCTTCCGCGTCCCATGGAGACTCCTCTTCAGCCCCCGCCTCCAGTGCAGCGAGTCATGGACCCAGGTGAGTCAGCAGGCCCTCGGTGCGAGGCTGAGGAACAGGCAGCCCCTAGCACTGCCATGGGCTCAGGGCCGGACTTCGGCGACAGCACCAAAACCATCCTCAGATCTACCGACCCCTCCTCTATACCAAGGTGGTTGCAGGTGACCCGATCCAGGGTGTGGATGGGGAGCTGGAGTCCAGGGAAGAAGAGAGGTGTCCCTGCTGCTTAGGGTCACAGCAGACTGGGGACAGAGTGGGGGTCTGGGTCCTCTGCCACGGCGCTCCTCCCATGGTGCCCAGTGCCAGGCCCCATCCTGTCCTCGGACACAGGCAGAGGGAAACCTCTTTGGGTTGGGGGGCGGCATCAGCAGTGGCTGAGGTTAGTCTCGGGCTGAGCCAGACGCTCCCGGAACGGGCAGAGGCAGCCCAGGACCGGTAGGTCCTCGGCAGTCAGGGTTCGGCAGTCAGGGTTCGTGCGACAGAGCCGCGCCCTTCCCCTAGGCTTCCTGGACGTGTCGGGCATCTCCGTCCTGGACAGCAGTGCCGGCGTCTGGCCCGGCCTGCCCTCCTCCTTCCCGGGGCTGACCTCCACCGCCGCGTCGGCCTCGGGGCTGGAGGACGTCTGCTCCAGCAGCGGCTCTCACGAGCGTGGCGGTGAGTGGCCCGCACCCCCCGAGGCCTCTGGGAAGGGCTGCTGGGAGGGCGGCCCCGAGTTTGTGCACTGGCTGTCTCGTGGGGGGCCAGTGGGGTCATCGCCCCAGGCCTCACTGGCCCCGGGTCCCACAGGCCTCCGCAGCCCCATCCTGTGTGTTTCAGGGGAGGCCACGTGGTCCGGGTCGGAGTTTGAGGTCTCCTTCCCGGACAGCCCCGGCGCCCAGGCCCAGCAGGACCACCTGCCTCAGCTGACCCTTCCCGACAGCCTCACCTCTGCGGCCTCGCCGGAAGACGGGCTGTCTGCTGAGCTGCTCGAAGCTCAGGCCGAGGAGGAGCCGACACGTGCTGCGAGTCCAGAGGTTGGGGCTGAGGCTGAGGGGACAGCCGGCCCAGCCCAGCTCTCTACCCCGGAATAACACCCTGGGTGGTGACGAGGCCCCTGGTGGCATTTCGCAAGGCCCAGGTGTGGGGAGGCGGCTCAGGCTGCACTTGGGGCCCAGCCCCTCACCTGACCCCAGCCTAGCGTGTCCAGTTTCCTAGGTGGTGGTTCCGAGGGACGTGCAGGGACTCCTGCTGCTGGGAGGCTCTTGTGTCCATTCAGACCCTGCTGGTCTCCAAGAAATGACCTCCCAGCATCAATTCTGCGTGATGGTCCTGGCTTTGGGGAACCGGGCACTTGCTGGGGATCTCACACATCCTTTCGGGGGCAGGGAGCTGGGCGCAGCACCCCAAGTTGACTTGGTCATGTGGGAGCTGGGGCAGTAGAGGGGAGACTTACTTGCTGCCTGTGTGGGGCCTGAAGCCTCAGGGGGTAGTAAGAGGCGGTGTGGGCCTTGGGGAAGGGCATCTTTTGGCCATGTCCCCTGAGGTCCAGTGCTTGCTGCTGCTTGGGCACTGTGGCTTCCCAGGAGACAGCAGGGTCCGGACAGGGTCAGGCGTGTGACGGGGTCGGGGAGGAAGCAGCTGCTGTAGGGTGTCTGCCGGGTTGCCGTGTGGGGCTTGCCTTGAGTCTCCTGCACAGCTCGGCCAGCACGCTCTGCACCAGAAGGCACGCCCAAGCCCTGGGGACCCCTGAAGCCCCAGTACTGTCTCTCTCGTCACGTGCGCTCATCCCTCCCTGTACTACGCTGCGCACAGCTGGCTTGGCTGACTGACATCTGCCAGCCACAGCGGGAGGGGAGCGGCAGTGAACTCGCTCACCTCTCCCGGGAGAGGAGGGCGGGAGGTTCCAGGCCGTTCAGCAGACTCACCTGTGCCTGGACCCCGATGTTTCTTCCTCCTCAGGGCCTGCACCCCACAGACCTCGTATCCCAGCGGTGAGTCCTGCCCGCCCCCAAACTCACACAGCTATCTCTTCTACACGCACAAGGCACCCAGCCAGCCCCGGCGGTGACCAAGTTACAAATCTAAATCCGCCGCCCCAAGTGGACTCTCAGAGCTGGTCCTGACTGGATGTGCTTCCATGCAGCTCCCACTGCAAGGGGAAATGGCAGGCTTGGGCAGGAGTGGACAAGGGCCTTTCTGTTCTTTCCCACAGTATTGTGTGTGTGGGTGTGTGTGTGTGGGGGGGGGGGAGGCCGTTCCTCTCACCACCGGGTGCCTGGGAGGCTAGGGCTGGGGTGGGCCTCCTGCTCGGCCTGCAGGAAGGGGTGGCCCCCCAGGAACGCCCTTCCATCCCCTGGCGTCCTCTCCCGCCTTGGCTGAGTCCTTCCCACACGCCTGGCTCGTTACCGAGAGAGCTGCCTCTGGCCTTGTCTTCTGGTCTCTGGCCATCTAAAGCACCCTCCCTGCTGCTTCACTTGTAACGTCCGCACTGAAAGGGGAACTCGGAGCTCTGCCAGGCCCGCAGCACAAGGACTGTGGGCTCTGGGGGGCCCAGAGCAAGTCCATGGCAGGAGGGACCCCAACCAGCAAACACTTGGAAGTTGCCAGCACTCTGACTGCATTCAGAGCAAGCCCTGTCAGGGCCACCAGCACAGCTGAGCTTGCGAGACAGGGAGGCCTTGTGTCCAAAGCCACTCCCGGAGCCTGGCTCCTGGGCCACCTGGGAGCCCGGGTCGCCTGCAGGAGCGCGGGACGCAGGACAGAACCACCCGGGACTGCTCGGAGGGCAGCTCCCCTGGCTGTCTCACCAAGGTCACCCCCGCCCAAGGGTCGGGGTTTCCTCACCTGACACGCTCCTGTCCCGAGTGGGAGGGTCTAGTGGGTATCAGTGCCAGTTATTGCCAGGGTCGGCCTGAAACCAGAGGTTTCTTAACTCCTCTATAATCTGCTATGAAGGACAATGACAAGTGGAAAAAAATAACATGCTCTACACTTGGAATATTTTAACTAAAGCCTTTATTCTATACAACTGAAATACAGATTTTACCCCCTTGGCAGACTCATGTTTTCTGGGGACTTGCGGGTGGGACCGGGAGGAAAGGAAGCACAACCATGCTGGGGCCGCGTCCACGGCAGGAGGGGAGCGTGGCCGCCCTCGGGGCTCTGCGCACGCGCGGGGCAGGACGGCCCGGCAAGACCCACGGCTCTGGTCCAGGGCCCTCGTGCACCACAGCCGAGGGCTGGCGGATGAGTTCTTTCTTTTTTGACATTAATTCACAACTATTGCTAAAAAACGTGCACCCAAGGTGCACTGGTGTATCCAACAGATAGAAAGGGTTGTTTAAAAAAGAAGCCGGCTGCTCTGCGCAAGGGAGGAGGACTCAGTGGAAAGGGGGCGCGTCTTTGCCCGTGTCTTCACAGAGCCAGAGGCCGTGACCCGTCCACTGTCCCAGGAGGCTGCCCAGCAGTGAGGGGAGCCTGTCTCTGCAGTTGTGCGAATCAGAGTATCTCGAACAGGAAGGTCTGCGCCTGTGAAGGTGCAAGCTGTCTACGCCTGTGGAGGCGCAGACAAGAGACCCTTCCCCGTCCCCTCCCCAGCGCCCGCGGCCGTGGCACAGCCGCGCACGGGCGGGGAGGCTGCCGGGCTGGAACAGACTGCCCTCTGAAGGCACTTGTGCTTCTGGCTTCATGCAGGAGGCTTCTCTCGGGGAGTCTGATCGGTGGGCCACTGTTCTACTCTGAATACAAATGGCCTCGGGGAGAATCCAAAGTGTGTTCTTCTGCCAAAAGCTGAAGTGTTTATCCCCAATAAGTTATATTCTGTACAAGATCCAAATGAGTCTCTGAAAGCTTTAGATTGTTAGAACAGTGAAAAGAAATCTGGGTATAGGTACAACAACAACAACAAAAAAACTGCATATAAAACTCTGGAAAAGCAAGTACGTATATTTCCAGGCCGTGAATTATCAAATTAACTCACCATGACATCCTACTGACACCGTACATTTAGGCAGCATTTAAATGAAGTCTAAATTTCACCATGGTCTTAAGTTCTGATGGTGCCATGCTGCTCACCCCGAGTGCTAACCTGGGGTGTCGCCTAGGTTTGCCCCTAAACAAACGACACAGTGGAGGACGGCGTGAAACAGCCGCCTCCCCGTGGCCGCCGTCCAGCCCGGGGCCTGGGGTCCAGCCCGGGGCCTGGGGGCGCTGCGGCATCTCTGGGCCCAGTGCCCCGAGCGCTGCGCTCCGGCCCCCGGACGTCCCGACGCACGCTCCCAGGAGAGCACGTCCCGGGGGCGGTGTTAAAAACTAGCCCAACAACAGTCATTATGAAATGGGCTGGCTCTAGAATTGTGCAATGGCAAGTTCCTATTACAAATAACTGTCTTAAATGGTGAAAATTTGTTTTTAATGACAAACTTGGAAAAGCCTTCCTAGGTACCGCGTGAACGGAATGTACTCTCAGAAGAGCTACACGGCGTGTGTGAAGTTGAAACACAGTGACACGCAGGGCCTTACCGGTGTGTCTCTAACAAGTGCTAACAGACAGAGATATGGTCCTTTGAGATAAAAGCAGGAAGCCCAGTGCGCGCGGCCTGGCCTGCCGTCGGTTCTCTGTACACCCCACAAGACACAGCTGGCCGGGGAGTCTTCTGCTCTCGTCCTCTGCCTCCCTGGGGACAGCTTAATCTACACAAGGAGGCTGGTTTCTATGTTACATTTCGATTAGTCACTTCAGTGGAAAGAGAATCTTGGTCCATACCCAAGCGGCCGGTAGCAGTCGCCCCGCTGGGGCTCAGTGGGCTTCCTAGGACTACTCTCAGGGCCAGAGGAAGGTCAGTACGCAATATGCAGGGGGCTCACCCGCCCTTCACGTGGACTTCTGTCGGTAGTGGAGGGTGAGGTCACCGCCACTCTTCCATATGAAGTGTTTCACTGTCCGAAGGTCCATGTTTGGATCTAGAACCTGAACAGCAAAAAATAAAAGTCAAAGCCTCCAACAGCTAAGACCTTTACTGTTAACCCAGGGCCTCATCCGGTGACCCAGCGTGTCCTCTCCCTGGGCCCCGTGGTGGCCTCTCTGGCCGACATGGCTGCCTCACACACAGGCACGAACCTGGCGCGGGCAGAGGTGCAGGTGTGGGGCCAGGCCCGCCGCACCGTCTTCAGGCGCTCCCCTGGAGGAAGGCCTGCAGTGCACCTTGGTTTAAAGCAGCTCCCCCACCTCCACCCCGTCCTAAACTAACACAGCTGAGCCCGCTCTGCAACTCAAGATGACCCTGTGTCTTGTTCGGAGCCTCAGGAGTAGGGGGGAGACATTCAGAGTTCCTCAGGGTCTTTTTAAAAGCAGAAGCCCCCCAAAGACAAGAGACTTGGGACCATAACCACACCCCGTTATGTAACTGTCGGAGCACTGGCCCTGGAAAAGCAGGCTGTGGTCCACAAGTCCACGTACCTGGTCCTGGCACAAAAGTTCAATTTTCTCCTCTGCCAGCACAGCAATATCCTCCTCTTTTTCCTGTTCTCCTGGTTTTTCATTGTTAGAAGAGCTGGTGGTTTGAGACTCATTATCCAAGTTGATGATTTTCTCATAAACGTGTTCCATCACTTTCCGGACCTGGAGCATGTCACTAGCAGACAGTCTGTCTCTGTAAAAAGCAAGGCAGACTGTGACATCAGGAGATCGCTGGATACCATCGCTTCCACGTCACCTGGTGTTAGCATTTGATAAAGATGAAAACATACCCCAGAAACATAAAAGCAATAACATTTTCAGTCACTGTCTTAATCCATTTTTAGAATTGCCAACAGATTGTTTGTAGTGTCCTTTCAAGACAGAATTATGCTCAAATGAGATTACATACATGTTCTTAAAAATCTTAAGACACACATAAAGAACAGCATTCTGGGTTTATTCCCTTAAAGACTTTTCCCGGAACAAGAGCAAACTGAATGCTCCTGGAAGGGAAGGGAAGGGAAGGCTGCCCCAGGGCTCACTTCTCCCAGGGCCTGCCTGCCTACAGCCGAGACCTCGAGTCTCGACCTCCTGCCCGAACTCCAACCCACAAGCCCCAGAGCTGACTGGGTGTCCCCACTTGTCGGTTCCACAGGAACCTCCAACTCCACATCCAAATTTAGATTCACCTATTCCCTCACCCCCAAACCTACTTCTGTATCCCTGATGTCAGCAAATGGTCAAACCAAGCAAGCTCAGGCTCAAACTCGGAAAGCCGTCTTGAGTTTAGGGCCGTTAAACCCAGCTGAAGTGACGCTTGGACTCGCTCCTGCGCATGCGTGTGTGCGGGCAGGTGGGTGGGACGGCAGGCAGGTGAGACAAACGTCTAACCGTGTGTAGAGAACTACTAAAGCTGTCGGACGGGACAGTGGGGCTTCGTTTTCCTATTTGCCTTTTTGTATGTTTGGAAATTTCCCCGACAAAAGGCTTTAAAGCCTTGTTGGTTTTATTTGCTAGGATTTACATCAATGAAACCTCTTATATGCTTACATGTCCCTCCTGGTTATGTCCCCACCACCCACAGCCTAGGCTGCCCCTCTGGGGGCCCTCGCCAATTTCCAGTGTCCTGCGCGCACGCCCACATCCCCGAGCACGCCTCTCCTGGCCGCGGACGAGCTCCTCTGAAGCCCTACCCATCCTCACGCGCCGGCTCACGTCCCACGTCCTTCGAGAAGCCTGTCTGGAAAGCACTAGTCGAAACTTCATTTCTTCCCCTCTGCTCATTAGTATCCACAAAGCAGTCACTACACAGAGACCGTGCATTACGCTGAACTATGGTAGAGAAACACAGTCTATGTCTTGTTTTTGAACATCCGCAGCCTATGCAGTAGATACTTGGTGAAAGGTTAAATTGTACGAAGTGTTAATACAGAGGTAGCCTTAGATCTAGTACTGGCCTCCTTTGCTATAAAAGCAATAAGGAATTTAAGAAAAAAACCTCTCTGGTAATTAATTAGATCAAAGCATCATATGACACTATATTTACTTACTTTTTCAAGGTTTTTGCTCCTGAAGATGCATGAGGTTGGAGGTAGAAAGGAATTTTGTTGAATTTGGGCATATTTTTCTGAAATATTAAAAGTAAAAAAATGGCATAGTTTCTATTAGCTGATAAATTTAAATGATGTCAACAGGAAAACGATTTATAAGTTAATAGTTGTTTCACAATTAAAAGTCACTTTCTATGGAATTTATAGTAAGCTATCAAATTGTCTAAGTCAGCCTTAGACAAACTGTATCAGACAGGCACAATGCTAGGCCGTGTAAGGAAAAGACACTGGGCAAAGTCAGTGGCAATGTGAATTTGCCAGCACGGCTCTTTTCAAATAACAATTCAAGGTATTAGAGGGAATTAAATTTTATTTTAATTCTTCAAGCCATACAAACCCCAAATCTCAGTTCTACATAAAAATATCAAGGCTGATCCCTAAAAGCCCAAACAAAAAATTACGTGTCTTGGGAGAAACCCACAGCATTCACCCCTGAGCAAAACCACACACTCTACGCTGGGGGTCTGCCATTGAGCTGCAAGGCCGGCCAGGCCCTCCCACCTCCCTTCCCTCTGGCGTCAGAGTGAGGTCTGTGGTTTCACGCGGGATGGTAACGTCAGCCGGCCACCTAGATGCCCACAGTGAAGAAAACCACGTGCTTAGGCAAAGGGGGAAGTTCACTGGCCGTCTGTTCCCGGGGTGCTAATGAATCCCCCCGGGGCCTCTGTGCCACATCCCAGCTGGATGTCCCCTCTGAGGGACAAGAGGAGCCGCAGGCCTAAAGCGAGCGCTGCCCCCAGCTGACTCTCGCCCCCAAAGGAAGGAGTGGTGCTTGGGGAGCCCGGGCTCAGGGAAGACCATGGAGCATCCACAAGGGGTCACCCGGGCTTAAGTGCTTGGAGGTAGTACATCTGGGACAGAGCACACAGTTTCTGCAAGTCCTCGAGATTAAATCTCTTTTCATATGGCTTCAGGAATATATAAAATAGGCCAACAGAACAGAAGAGTCTAGAAACAGACCCCTGTGCATACAGAAATTTGGCATGTGATAGAGAGCATTTCAAATTAGTGGAAAAAGGACTGATTACTCAAACACTGTGCTGGCACACTGGCTGTCCATCTGTAGAAAGTCAGCATCCTACTTCACACCAAACTAACTAAATGCTAACAGATTAAAGACCTAGACACAGGCGATTATAGCAAACATACTGGAGAATACGGAGCATTTTTGCTACGCTGGAGTGGGAGGTACCTAAGCAAGACATGAAACTCATAACATAAAGATTCAACCTGATTATATAAAATGAAACTGTTCACCTGACAATACCATGAATAAAGTAAAAATTCAATTGAGAGGCACAGGTAATAGTCAAAGGATTACTGTTTAACATGAAGAGCACCTATAAATAAGAAAGACAAATAACCCAACAGAGAAATGAGTAAAGAATACAGACAGGCAATTCACAAAAGAAACAGAAACGGCCAGTGTGAAAAGATGCTTAGCCTTACTAGACTTAAAGGAAACACCGAAGCCAGCCCTGGTTGGCGTGGATCAGTGGACCACGCGCTGGCCTGCAAACCAAAAGGTCCCCAGTTGGAGGCGTAACAGGCAACTGGTAGATGTTTCTCTCACACATCGGTGTTTCTCTCCTCTCTCTCCCTCCCTTCCCCTCTCTCTAAAAATAAGTAAAATCTTTAAAAGACAAGAAACCCAAAACCATATTAAAACAATGAGATAGTACTCGCCTATCTTTGGCAAAGATCGAAAGGACTCGGTGTTGGGGAGCAGGAGGGGAACAGGCCCCCATGCAGCGCTGGTGAGGCCATGCCCTGGTACGGCCTGTGTGGGGGGCGGTTTGGCAGTATCTGTCAGAATTTACAATGTGCATGCCCTTTGACCCAGCAATTCCACTTCCAGGAATTTATCCTAAAACGGATGTTCACTGAAGCACTTTTTGTAACAGAAAACATTGGAAACAACCTAAATGCCCTTCAATTGGGTACTAGTTAAATATTTTACGGTACGTTTGTACAATGGAATATTACACAGTCATTTCAAAGAAATGATCCATATGTAGAGATGTGAAAAAACGTTCAAGAACTATTTTTAAGTGAAAAAAAAAAACCCAAAACAAAAACAAGTTGTGTAAGAACAGTATGTGTAGTAAGAACCTGTGCAAGAAAAAATAAACCATAAGCATATATAGAGATAACATATGCTTACGTAAGCAGAGAAAAAAGTACCAATGGCTACACACCAACCCATTACAGTTCTTACCTCTGGGGAAAGGCCAGGGAGTGAATGGAAGAGGAGTGATTGAGAGAGGGATGGGAGTTTCACTGTATTTATTTATTTTATTAATACACATATACTATCTTTATAATTAAAAACCAACAAAGATACAAACAAACAAATATCAACAGTACTTCTGAAACTTTGGAACTATAGGGAAGCAGAAGAGGATTCACCTGGCAGTCTAGGTTTTCTCCCCCCTTAATAAATTTATTCACAAAAAAGTGAGAGGAGAGGGTCAGAGGTGCACAGGCAGAGGGCTGGGGGGCTCTGAAGTGGGGCTCGGAGACACAGGACCCTCCAGGTGGGAGGGTGCTTTTTAATAAAAAAAAAAAACAACCCAACAACCCCAAAACAGTGGGATCTCCCTCCACTCTCCCCAATTAAAAAAACACAAAAACGACGTCTCTGGGGTCCACGGGGGGCCTGGGCCTTAGGGTACTGAGAGGGCATCACAGGGGCCAGGGCAGCTCCCGCACCCGTTGGCAGAGCAGCAGGGAGCCCTCACCAGACACCACCTGGTCTCCCTCACAGGGAAACCGGAGTCACTGTGGACGCGCCCACCAGCCTGGCGCCGGCACAGGGCTGTGTAGCGGCCCCAGTGGTGGCAGAGGGCACACTGCTGACAGACGGGACTTCCGGCTTCGTCACTGGCACGGGCCCCTAGGCTCAGCGGCTGCCGCGGGGAGCTGCACCTACTGAACTTTTCTTGGTGGGGCCTCGGGAGGTGGAGACTTGATTAAGCTGGAGCACGAGGATTCGGGGGCATCTTCGTACTGTTAACTTTTTGGCACTTCGTGTTTTCTTTCACAGTCTAGTTTTTATTCAAGTTCAAGGTTATATGATCTAAACCAGGTCCGCATTTGCTTCACAATTTGGAAAAAATACAAGGGCAAAGTGGGAGTGGAGGACACTTACATCCACAGTGATGTCAATTACCCATTGCGGCACCGTCTCGTTCAGGAGCATCGACTCGGTCTCCCCTCCGGAGTCCCGGCAGAGCAGCCTAAACACATCCAGCAGGCAGTAAGTGACCCAGCAGGCACAGATGACAAAACCGCGGTTACCAACATTAGATGGAGGGACGAGACCCCTAGAGTTCACTCAGGACAGCCCCCACTCAGCCGAGGAAACACGGCACAGCCAGGCAGAAGGACTCGCTCGGTCAGGACAGAGTGTGGGCCCTAGAGCTCGAGCCCCAGGCTCCGAGGCCAGACACACACCGGAGCTGCCTCTCTCCCACCTAGCGTGATGATGGGAAACCTGCACACGGCAAAGCGCTTAAGAAGGGTCCCTGCCAGTGCCCTGCAGAGGTGCAGGCCCCACGGCGAACAGGGCAGGACGGGGCAGGACGTCTCTGGTGACCACACCCTCAGGAAACCATCACAAAGGAAACAAGTCTGTGCGCGAGGGCAAGACAAGCATTCTCCAATCTCACGGCCTGCAGAAGACCCTGGTAAGCTCCCCGCTGACTCCCCAGGGCCCTGCTGGCAGTGTGGAGGCAAAGCCAGCCTAGCTCTTTCCTACAGGGCCTCTCGAAGGTCAGCCTCGCACCTCCAGCCAGGCCAGTGTGGGGCCTGACAGTTCCCAGGAGCAGCCCAGGCCATCCTGCTGACCCAGAGGGAGAGACGTTACCCATTCTGACACTGTCCTGAGGACAGGGACTGCTGGCGATGCCCGCTGCACCCTGACCCCGGCAGCCACGCTGGCTAGGTGAGGGAGAGGGAGGGTTTCCTGCAGAAACCACGGGGGAAGCTGCCTCAAGGGCAGGGTCGACCTCATTTCAACAGCAGAGGCTCGGCTCCCAGTTAGAAGGTGGTCTACACTTAACCATCTCATGGAGATGAGAAAGCTTCCAAGTCCCTGACACCTCTAGAGATTAAACAATTTATAACATCTGCTTGAATCAATATTTCTTAGCAAAAGGGATGCTTTCTGAACAGGGCCTCCAGCCCTCCTCTGCCCGTACCTGAACAGCGTGCGGCCTCCAGCTTCACCAAAGATCACAGGGGTGTGGGGGGGCACTTGGAAATATCCGTTTCCCTTCTGTACTCGGTTCTCCTGCTCCCCATTCACTAGGAAAGGTGCAGATGGCGTGAGATGCAGACTTAGTGCCACGGACACAGATACACAGATTCTAAACGTTTTGTTTACAAAGGCTTCAAACACTGGACGACTTTTAAGGTCAAAAGCCCTGTCAGTTAGCCAGTGTCAGAAATAAAGGCAAAAAAACAAACCAAGTTAAATTCCTAAAAGTAAGAAATATGGCAACTTGTAACGTGCCTCATGAGAAATGACTGCATTTTAGAGGGTTCTAAGAGAAGAGATTAATATTTGAGATTTGAAACAAAAACACAACCATCTGCTTTGAGCCACAGGGAAGTCTCAGACAGCCTGATTGTAAATGGTGATCAGGTTTTTTCTCCCCTTGGGCTAGAAAAAATAAACATGTTTAATGGCAGCCATAACTAATGGCAGAGATACCAGTGGAAAATAAAATCCTCAAAGAAGTCATAATCCTTGTTTTTATTGCTCTCTGCACATTGCATTTCACTATTTTCTTTGTAATCTTTTGACCCAAGAGCAGTTGACCCCCACTAAGCGCCAACCTATTCACAGACATTCCCCTAACAAACTGGGAAGCAACCCCACGCTCTGAAGTCCTGCAGCACCTGCGGGACCTCTGTCCCGGCACCCAGTGCTTCTCTCGGATCTCAGAACACTTCACGGAAGTAGCCCCCCGCCCTCCAGAATGTCAGCCCCTGTCCTGCAGCACAGGGTCCGGCCCACTGATCTTCACCGCCCCACTACGTCTCACTGCAGGCCTCGGAGCACTTGAGCTGCACAACGAGTGCAACCAGGCAACTCCCGAGCACCCGCTGAGCATGCAGCAGGTGCAGCAGGAGACTGTACCAGACAGGAGGGACGCGTAGTGACCAGAGCTCTGGCTGGGGAGGTGGCGGGGCGGGTGAGGAGGGGCTGCCCTGTCTTTACTGTGGCAGTCTGACTTTAGGAATGATTTGGGGTTTCCTGTGACTTCTTCCCCCGCTCTCCCCAACCAAAACCTAGATCCAAGAGGTGCTGACTGCGCTAGTTTCTTGATTACTTAATCTTTACTGTATACTTGGGCCTCTGAGGGCATCTTGTCTGTCACATTATAGAGAGAGGACAAGCCAAGACCAGGAAGTGACGAGCCCACAGCCACACAGCTGATAAATGACAGAGCCTAGCTTTCTCCTCCCACTGTGGGGAGCTCTCTGTGTTGAGTTTCTCTGGGTCACAGTCCACTGAGACCCGAAAGAACACCCCCTGTGGGTGGGGTCAGAGCCCTCTCTGGGACAAGTACATCGGACGACTCACTTTGAGGGAAGCATGCCATCCCTGTAAGAGATTTAAACTCCAACAGTCACCACGGATGAGCCAGTCAGCCAGAAGGAAGACTCTGACAGGAGGTCCTCTGATCCCTGGGGGGTCACTGCTGACCACCGGAAGTGGGCAGTCGTCAGTGGAACCTTCAGAGAATTCAGAGACTCTTCACCAGAGTGAGCCCTCGGTTGGTAGGACAGAAGGAATTTTCAACCACTGCAGGTTACACACGAGATGCCAAATTTTAAGACCCTGCCCTCCCCTTCTCTCATCAAGCTGAGCCGGACTCACACACTGCAAACATGGTCCCCTCTGCCGCCCAGGGAGGGGCGCTGCCACAGCCTGGGGCACACGCCACTTCTGAATGTCCTCCGTGACAGTACTTCTTTCTACGCACCTGTCCCCTCCTCCTGACGCTTCTGAGTTGGAATCTGATGTTTTGAAACATTGAGAGCCGAGAGCAGGTAGCTCATCAGACTAGGTAATGGCAGCGCCTCAGCCCGACAGGGCGTGTGGCGGCACAAGAACGAGTCCCGCAGGTGCGGACGCACTAGGTCGGCCTCTGGAAGAAGCCTGCTAAGCTGCCTGCTGCCAAGGACAAAGGTCGTGTGAACATACAGGGTTTTCTCCTCCTGTCTCGGGCAGCTTCACTTGTTGAGAGTCCCTCAGAACTGCAGCTGGGACAGGATGGATGGATGGTGTGACTTCGGGATGTGGGAGGGAGGCAACAACACACTGAGCGTACCACAAACACCGTGTCACAATTTAGCAAATGCCTGACATGTTTCTTAAAATAACCACCAGTCTAAGCCTCTTTAACTTCTGAGTACTTTTAAATTACTATCCTGATATAAAAGCACGCACCATGGTTGACTTCATTTTCTTCTTCATCCATGGGATTCACATGTGTTCTGGGCCAATACTCTAGGAGGGCCTGGAGTAAAAGTCCTCCTAAGTTCACTGCAAAAGAGTTAATTAAAAAGAAAGAAGTGGGGAAAAAAGTTACTAGTTTTCACCTAAAAATAGAAGGGAAGAAATAAAAATAAGTTTCCACATATTCTGATGTTAAATTCTTAAACCAATGCCACTGATGTTTAAAACCAAGATTTCAGAGATTTTGCCAAGTCTGTTAAAATTTTACCCTAGAATGTTTAAAGCGGTGGTAATGCGGAGCAAACGCAGTCTGTCTGTCTGGTTGTTCAGAGACAGCCCCTCTTCAAAAATGAACACACGCAGCAGGAGCTGCATTCTTTAAAAGGCTATTTCCCTGTAAAGCCACTGAAACTGTCTTTGTACACATCGGGTTACATTCTCAGGAGAATGTCCCGTTCTTAGGAGAATCCTGACCACAGGCATCACCAACCAGACATAACAAACAGACTCTCACAGAGACGAGCACACAGTGAGAAACAGCACGGGCTGCTTTCCCTTTGGCGAGGAGGAGAGAGGGAAGGGCACAGCTCACGTTTCGGATCTGAGCCGTCGGGGCTGCTGAAGCCGGCGTCTTTTGCAGACACCCAAGCGGCGAAACAGTCGCTCTCGTCCAAAGTAATTGTCAGCATCTGTCGAACATAAAAAGTCAGCAGTGGTGTTCTATCTGAATCCATTCTCCAAATAAGTATCTAAACCTTTTTTTATTTGTGCTATTTAACTAAAGTGCTAAGAAGCCAAAATGTGTTTCATGCAATTCAGTACAAATACAATTTAATTTACTAGGATACCAAAAGGCATTTAAACATTTTGCAAGAAATAACATAATTTTTTTCCTTTCACACTTAAAAACATAGGACTCTGTAACTAATGATACTTAGTACTGAGCTATATTAAAAGTTTCCACTATGCCAAATTACACGAATATCAACTGCTAACTTACCCCTGTTTTTAAGTCTACTGAGAACCAATTTGGCACATAAACCATCTTAAATCTTTTCTTAATTTCATCTTCAAAATCCACTTTGCCCAGATCTTCCACTTTACATGCCTAGGCATCAAAAAGAAAGTATAATAATTATCAGTATTAACTGGAAAATGAAGTTGATTCTGATTTTCAGCTATTGAAAATTTTACACATTTTCACATTTGTCTCAATAAAATGGAGTCTAAAACACATTTTAAGATGAAGTGGTCAAACATTTTTATTTTAAAGCATTTATCTTTCAATTTTAAATTAAAAAAGCAACCTTATAAAATAGCCTCTTTTTGGAAGCTGCAATTTAATCTTGTTGATACTGATACAATATACTACCAGTCTTAGCTGGAAGCAATGTCAAATGAAGGAAAAAATCTTCAAGGAACAGACACTTACTAAACCCCTTAAGAGAACTCCGAAGCTACCTTCAGGTAACAGCTAAGATATAGGCGGCGATTTTAGGTTTCTCTTTCTGGACCACTGTAATCCTCCCCTATCTCCCAAACTTGTCCTGAACATCCTCGGTGCCACGGAGCATTCAGTCCTGAACAGCCCATCGCAATCCCGAAGCGTATCAGGATGCTCCTTCCCACGCTTCGCCCTGACAGCACCACTTTCCTCGGGGTCCCAGTCCTTCAGGCACCTTCTCACAGGGTGGCTGTGCTGCTTCTCCTGCATCCCGTGCCTCCTGTGGCACAGAGACCATGGTCCATCGCCTCTTCATAACCACTCCCACTTCTCTGAGGCCCATGTAACTAACTGAGCTGCAGTCACCTGTACCCCTTTCCTCGCTGCCGTCTAGCAGCCTCTGCGGTCACTCTCTCACTCGAGACTTGAGCTCTGGTTCAATGTCTTGCAGTCGTCTTGAGTTCTTGCTTTCGTCCTGGACAACATCAGCAACCACATGGACAATCAAAGGACATGCTGACCTCTCAAATCCTTGACAGTGTTCCTACTATGAATGTACAATCTCCACCACAGTTCACCCACATGCTACCTGGGATCTCTTCTGCTTCAGAGTCAGTTCGCCACACCTTCATCTTTACTCTCCTATCTTTGACCTCACTGCCCTTCCTTACTACCCTCAGCACATGACCCTGACCTCTACTCCTCAAAAAAGAGAAGCATGGACAAAACCCTCTTACATTTCTGCTCCCACCTTTCCTGGTGCAAAGAGAGGATGTCCCTTATTGCTATGCTCTGGATCCCCTCACCTCTCGTTTTCTGGGGGCCTGTCCCACCATCTACCTTCTGTCTCTATTGGCCTGTCCCCCGGAGCAGTGAACCATGTCTGAATTTCTCCCATTGGAAAAACACCTGCACACTGAAACAAAACCTTCATTGGCCCTTTCATCCCTAAATCCTCTCCAGCTACTCCTCTTCACCGCAGCAAAGTAAAACTATGTCCAAGATTGCCAGCACTCACATTGTTTCCTCACCTCCCAATCACTACTCAACCCACTCCGTCTGGCTTTTGCCCTTAGGACTCGCCAGAGACTGCTGTCCCCAGACACCACCCTCTTCTTGATGAAATCCACGTGCACATCACATTCCGTATTCTGCACCACGTCTCCGCAGGCCAACCCCGAGTGCTGCTAACCCCGAGCTCCTTTCCAAAGTGCTTCATCAATTCTTGAACTGCCACTGACTCTTGGTCTTTTTACACCTTTTATTATACTCCTTTGTGGCTTCCTCTTTTCTTAACAATTCCTGAAAGGGGGATGACTTGGTTTCTTCTCTTTTCAGCACAGACGCATCACATGGAAACTGGGCCATTTTCCACGACTCCGATGATAATCCATGGGCCAGTGACTGCTGACCCTGATTCTCCAGCCCAGCTCTTTCAGCTGTGCACTGGGCTCTGCGGCTGTCTGCCCAGCAGACGCCTCTACTCGGACACCTCACAGAAATGCACTGTCTTTCTCAGCGTGTCCCTTTCCCCCAACAACCCATTCCCCATCCTCACATTCCTTCTATTACTTCCACTCACCAAGCTATCTAATTCGGAAGCCCAGGATTCATCTTCCTTTTCTTCAAGCTTCACTCTTATCTGCAGGTCTCTTCTTCCTACCCGGTCAAGTACCTGATGATATTTCACCTGTGTTAGTGCAGCAGCTTCCTAAGTACTACATGCCAGCCACTATGATGAATGCTTCTTTTTTAAGTATATTTTATTGATTATGCTATTACAGTTGTCTCATTTTTTCTCCTCCTTTTCCTCTTCTGCCCTGTACCCTCCCGCCTTAGTTTATGTCCATGGGTCGTACATATAAGTTCTTTAGCTTCTTCATTTCCCATACTATTCTTAACCTTCCCCCATCAATTTTGTACCTACCATTTATACTTCTTATTCCCTGTACCTTTTCCCCCATTCTCCCCTCTCCACCTCCCCACTGATAACCCTCCATGTGATCTCCATTGCTGTGTTTCTGTTCCTGTTCTAGTTGTTTGCTTAGTTTTGTTTTTTTTTAGGTTCAGTTGTTAATAACTGAGTTTGTTGTCATTCTACTGTTCATATTTTTGATCTTCTTTTTCTTAGATTCCTTTAACATTTCATATAACAAGGGGTTGGTGATGATGAACTCCTTTACCTTGACTATATCTGTCCTTCCATTCTAAATGAAAGCTTTGCTGGATAGAGTAATCTTGGAGGTAGGTCCTTGCCTTTCAAGACTTTCAATACTTCTTTCCAGCACCTTCTTGCCATTAAGGGTTCTTTTAAGAAATCAGCTGATAGTCTTATGGGAACTTCTTTGTAGGTAACTCTCTCCTTTTCTTTTGCTCCTTTCAAGAGTCTCTCCTTATCTTTAATCTTGGGTAATGTAATTATAATATGTCTTGATGTGTGTCTTCTTGTACCCAATTTTTTGGGGACTCTCTGAGCTTCCTGGACTTCATAGAAATCTATCTCCTTTGCCAGATTGGGGGAGTTTTCCTTCATTATTTGTTCAAACAAGTTTTCAATTTCTTGCTCTTGTCCTTCTCCTCCTGACACCCTTAAAATTTGGATATTGGAATGATTCAAGTTGTCCCAGAGGTTTCTAAGCCTCTCCTCATTTTTTGAATTCCTGTTTCTTCATTCTGTTCCAGTTGAATGTTTATTTCTTTCTTTTGGTCCAATCATTGAGTCTTAGTTTCCTTCTCTTCACTGTTGGTTCCTTGTATATTTTCCTTTATTTCATTTTGTATAGCCTTCCCTTCGTCCTTCATTTTGCAACCATAATCAACCAATTTTGTGAGCATCCTGATTACCAGTGTTTTGAACTCTGCATCTGATAGGCTGGTTATCTCCTCATTGCTCAGTTCTTTTTCTGGAGTTTTGATCTTTTCTTTCATTTATGCCATATTTCTTTATCTTGACTCAAATGTTACATTGTAGGGGTGGAGCCTTAGGTATCTGCCAGGGTGGGGCAACCCACATGCTGTGTTGTGGTGCTGTCTGTGGGAGGGGTCAGAGAGGGAACAATGCCACTTGCCCGCATGTTCAGCTTTTCCCCCACTTTCTGTCACTTCCCACAAGCGAAATATACCCTTTCAGGTGCTGATTCCCAGGTGGGTTGGCTTGTGTACATTCTAGGATTCTGTAGGCCTCTTCAATGGACTCTCTGGTGAGACTGGGAGTTTCTCCCACCGCCAAAGGCTTTTAACAGCCAGAGGTTTTGAGTTTTTAGTTTCCCTGCACTGGAACCCTGGGTTTCAAGGTCTGTCTTGCTTCCCAGTTGTTCCTCCTAGCTTACCCGAACAAATGTGGGACCGCCCCATCAGCCAGCCCCCACCTTGCCCGTGCAGTCTGACGTCTTGCTGCATGTCCTCTCTGCCCAGGCTGCCTGTCTCCATCACCCCTCCTGCTGGTCTGGATGAATGTCTCTTTAACTCCTCGGTGTCAGACTTCCATGCAGTTTCATTTTCTGGCAGTTCTGGTTGTTTCTGTTTTTAACTGGTTGTTATCCTTCTTTCAGTTGTATGAGGAAGTGAAGCTTTTCTACCTACGCCTCCATCTTGGCCGGAACCAAGAATTTGAATTTTGATAAATACTTCTTGAACATCCTCTTAATGTCACCAGGAAATAGGTACCACCACATTTGAGGAATAAAGACAGAGGCTGAGAGAGGTTTAGCCTGTTCCAGAGATCAGTCTGTCTAGTAGCTGGCAGAGCCAAGATTAGAATGCTGTTCTGTCCGACTTTGGGCCTCTCTTCCTAACTATACCTGACTTCCCTTCTTTTGTTTCATGTCATGTTCATCACACCCAATCACTTGCTCTCTAAACTTCAAGGTCTGGTGTCTGGGTGTGGGAAGCTGCCGGAGACACTGAAATGCCAGTCATGGTAAATGCCAGCTCGGTGCCCCATCTAAGTAGAACCACCTCCCATTCAGACAGCAGGCCTCTACTAAGACTTCAGCTAACCAGGCCAAGATAGGACATCAGACCCATGGGCAGAAAATCAGTAAGTCGACCCTCAGAGACTGGCTGGCCTGGTTAGATTTGGTTGGCTCTTCGGGAGAGCATCACGTGCTCGGCAGCACGGGTGAGGCCTGGCCCCGGGGCAGCGAGAGCCGGGGCCACAGAGAGGTGGAGTGTCTGAGTCCCCGCTGAAGAAGTCCTTGGGGCTGCTCTGAATCCTCCCGTCTCTGCAGGACCCCCCTCCGAACCAAACACGAGTTCTCGTCCCCTGATAAGAACATCTCTGCTGTAGAGAAAAGACTGGGGCAGCCCGCCGCAATTCAGTTTTCCACCGGGGTAAGGCCTCTTGTTCTGAAGCCATGCTCACCCAGCAACTGATTCGTAATGTGACTTCCCACACAGCTGCCCCACAGGGAGGGAAAGTGTTAGGCCACAGTTTCTATTCAGAGACAATCCCTTTTCCCCAGAAAGGAACTTGTTTGGTTGCCGGTTCGATTCCTTGGGGCGCATGCCTGGGTTGCGGGCCAGGATTCCCTCTGGGGGAGCCCGAGAGCAGCCAATTGATGTTTCTTTCACAAATGATGTTTCTCTCTCTTTCTCCCTCTCTTCCCCTCTCTCTAAAAAATAAATAAAATCTTAAAAAAACAAACCATCTAAGATTAAGATTCCTTAGGGAGTACCAAAGAAAGGCCAACTCTGGGGCCTGTAATGCAAGACTCTGGGAAATGACCCGAGTCTCATCTTTCATCCTGATACCCTTACGACTCCCTTGAACTCACCTAGTCTCCAACTGCACAGAGCTGCTCGCCTTGCTCTGAATAGGCAGGTACCTTCCCTCTTCTGTGTCTTTGACCTTCACTCCCTCTTCCTAACATGCCCTGCCACTCTTCACCTGCTGGAATCCTTCAAGTCCCTGTTCAAGTGTGTTTCCACCATGAAGCTCTCCAATTTCTTTCTAGTTTTAAGTAATTGCCCTTGAGTGTAAGCTACCATATCCTGTGATCTGTTTATTTTATCTATAAGGCTCTCCCATTCCCCAACTCTTGTTCCTGGTACCAGAGGGGATCATGGTACAGACTTTTCTGTTATCTGTGACTCTTAACACAGTTCTCTTTGCTCACAATATTCACTCAAACCAGGAAATATCTGTTCAGTGAAAATACCAACACCACCAAGAAGGGGCATTTGTCAGAACTCGAAAAGCAAACTTTTCAAACCGCCTATAAATTCTTCAGTGCTATTTAGAATGTGACTGAACAGCTCAACACACCTCAACTATCCCAGAGGGTGCTGCCGCGGCATGCCCCACAGCTGTAACCGGCGTCCCCAGGGATGGCTGCAAACCCTAACAATGGCCGAGCTTACTCCACGCCCTCCAGCAGTTCTCAACCAAGAGTCACTGCACCTTTGTCCCTCTCTAGGCATCTGGCAATGCCTGGAGACACTGTGGGCTGTTACCACTGACTTGGGCGAGGAGAAGGAGGTTACTGGCATGCATTTAGAAGACAGAGGCTGGGGTGCTGCTGACCACCGTCCAACACACAGGACAGATCCCACGCCCCTCACCTGCAGCAAAGACTTATCGGCCCAAAATGACGACAACAGTGTCAAAGACAGGAAGCACTTGTACTGTATTCACTTGAGGGTAAGGCAGCCTATAACACAATTTGTTATATACTGAACAGAGAAAATGGTTCCTTTCAAATCTGAGCTGCTTAAAAGAGGAACCCAAGCCTTATCCAATATTCACGTAAGAACTATCCACCCACATAAAGTATTACTGAAACTAAACCTTAATGTATATGTGTTATCTTGAGCTTTATACCACTGTTATATATTTCTATATATTTAACAATTAAAAATAAATGGTATATATGATCCAGTAACCTATGTTTAATACAAAAAGATACTCACTCACCTTCAATACATCCCAATACGCCACATTATTATTGGTATCTTTGGTTAATATATGTCTCTTATCATTCAGAATGTGGCACTGAATAATACTAGCACCACCTAAAGGAGAAAAACCCACAGAATTAGCAAAACAACCCTTCTATTGTACTACATTGAAATTAACAGTACGGCAGCGGTTGTTAACTGGTATGTAACAGAACACAAATCACGCCAGCCACCAGGAAGAACATACCACACCTCCCCATTTCCTTACCTTTAATGACCTGGTCAGGCTGTGTACAAAGGGGTGTTATAGGGTTTGTGCAGTCGTTGTCGTAATCTCCGGAGGCTCTGAAGTTGTGAATTCCCTTCAATGTCTGAAGGAACAAAATTCATTATTTAATCATTTTATGCTTTATAAACATGACCAATCTATTTAAAGTGGCAAGAAAAACAAAGAACAAACAAATGAAAAAACCCAATAACTACATCAACCAAAAAATACATAGTGTAAAGTATTATTATCTACCACAGTTAAAAAAACCAAAACGAATATTAAGAAGGGAGTGTCTTTTTTGAGAGAACACTAGGCACTCTTCCAGGCAGACTATGTAGATCTCAACCTGGAGCAAAGAAACTTAGACAAGACGTGTAATGTTTGTTACAAGTACAGAGCAAGACCACTTGAGCTGCATATAAACAGGAATAGATGTAAACACTTTCTCTTTTGCTAGTCACAAACAGTCTGGTCAGAAAACTTAAAATCTTCTTTAGTTAAGATTTAAGAATGAATAGTGCTTTTGATGGCTTCTCTCTGATCCTCCTCTATTTCCACCCCCATTCTTCATACTACCAAGAAAAAGGAAATGAACGTGAAAGCACAATTTTCACTTTTCTCCACATTTAGAAAAACAGAAGTCTAACGAGCTTCCCTGCTGTGCTGATACCTGGGCTGCCTGGTTTCAAGCGCAGCTTCCTGTCAGGAGCTGCACTGATCTCTACTGGCTGTGCCAGGCCGCAGCGCCTGTGCTAAGCACATCAAATGCATTTCTTGGCTCCTGACAAACATGTCAGAAGCTTTATTTTGACTGCTACCTTCATTTTTGTACGACCCTTGGATTTACACCTGCATTCGTCAGAGCTTTCAGATTTTTGCCAACAGCCAGTTTCACATTGAGCATTTCGACTGGTATCTGGCAGGTCTGTAATAACAAACCATGTGTTTCTAATCCTTTGCCAAGCATACAATGGCTTACTTACCCACTTATTTACTGTAGATTTAGTTGTCGCCACCCAGATTGCAGGAGGGGGATCAGCTGATCTATCAAGCTCCATCTGAAAACACCACACAAAAATACTGCTTTGGGAAATGCTGACTCGTGTGAGCTGCCAGGACTAGGTACACATTGTTAAATAGCCCCTCCACTCAACATTTGTGTTTACTATACCACGCAGGCGTGAAAGGCTAGGGGTCCAACAGATGAATGAGGGAGTCTGTGCTAAAGAAATGCGCGGCCCTACAAGGGGAGCAGGGCTGACTTCTCACCGAAAACAGGGGCTGCAAGTCAAAGTGCGGTGAGTGTAAGGGACCTAAATGGGGACCGTGCAAAGGATGACTTAGTGTAATTTTTTTGTTTTTGCCACCCTTTTGTTTTTCCATTCTTAATAACAAAGAAATATTTTTTTAAATAAAAACACAGCACAAGTGAAAAGCAACCCCAGATAATCCACCCTTGCCTAAGGACAGTATACTTGTGAAGGGTTTACTGTGTTGTCCTCTGGAGTTTTTTTAATCATATTTTTCCATTACCCTTTATCCCCCTTATGTGCCCCTGCTGCCCCACAACCCCACACTGTTGTCCCACACATATGTCTATGTGTCCATGAATCCTTTTCCCTTTTTGCCCAATCCCTCTGCCCCCTAACTCTGGGTTTTTAAAGTACTCGATGTACGAAATACACAAATGCCCATATATCGTGCCAGTGGAACCACGCTACATTCGTCCACTCTTCTTCCTACACTGGGATATTCTTCCTGGAGCTGTGGGGACCGCGCCAGGCTCTCAGCAAGCAGGAATCCTCTCCAGTTCAAAGTGACATCCCCTGTGACGTACAGTTATGCCTGCACTAAGTGGTTTTTCTCCACGGCCCTGGGATCCCGGCAGCTGCAGGACCCCCATGCAGTGCTTCCCCTCCCCGCCTGCCGCCCGCTCAGCCTGCCTCCTGCACACGTGCCGCGCCTGTGCTTTCAGCCCCGCCTCCCTTGCTTCCCTCAAGTACTACTGGTTTGTCCATGAGGGTGTGCCATCTATTTTATTTTTTTAAAGATTTTATTTGCTTATAGAGAGGGAAAGGTGGGAGAAAGAGAAGGAGAGAAACACGAATGTGTGGTTGCCTCTTGCATCCCCTAACCAGGGACCTATGTAACCCAGGCATGAGCCCTGACTGGGAATCGAACCGGTGGCCCTTTGGTTCACAGGCTGGCACTCAATCCACTGAGCCGCACCAGCCAGGGCTGTGCCATCTGTTTTAAAGAGGTGTGCTCCACCAGTTTTGCATGAGCTCCTAGACCACAGGCATTCCCTCAACCCTCAACTGACCTCCATTCCCCTTTCCAGCCCTCCCTCTGATACCGTGCTCTGGGTTTCAGATGTCACTTAGTTTCACAGATGACAGGAATCTGCTGTTGTTTCTTGTTTTCCCTGGTGTTTCCAGATGATTTCTGGGAGGAGGGGTAATGCTGTCTTTATGCCTCCATTTCAAATCCGGAAATGTCCTCCCAGTTGTTTTAATATGCAATTCTGTGAGTATCGGTGAGGCTGAACACTCTGTGGTAGGAAAACTGGCCACGGTCAGCCCAGGCTTCGCTTGTGGCAGGTGTCAGCAGCGATGGCTCTCCGGCACCCTCAGGCCCACCCCAGACCCTGCCAGGACCACTGTGAGGCAGTCACCGTGCGGAGGACAAGCCAGCTCGCCCCTCCGCCTCAGGGGCACTCTTCCACAACCCCCCTCTTGAGGCAGGGGACACATTTCTGCTTGGCCCTCTGCTCACAGATACCTGAGCTCCTCAAAGTCCTCCCCCCACGGCGTTTTCGGGGAGCCAGGGGGCCTCAGGAGCTGTGTGAGTGCGGGGTAGTCCCTCTAGGATACGCCACCGGGAGGGCCAGGCGTCCCTGAGGGACCCAAGAAGCCACCAGTTCTTCTCCAGATGACTAACAAAAATGTTAAAATATCTTTTTTAAATCCCACAACTGACTCATGTTTCAATATAGACTTTGCAGTATTTGGCTAGCACGTGGAACGACCTTAATTATATAAAACTGAAATGTGCGATCTACCTTGAGAACGGGTGCTTTTTCTTCACAGATCAGCACTCGAATGTCAGGGTTCCTTAGGTCTGTGCAGTAAATCTTCCGGTCCCTTCCTCCGGAATACACGTGTGTGAAGGCGTCATTGACTTGCAGAGCCCAAACGCCTTCATCGTGGACTCGGTACGTTGCTATGCACCTCTGCTGACCCAGGGACCAAAGGCGGATGGTCCCATCAGAGCTGCCGGAAAGGCACTGGGAACGGAGAAAGGTGAGGTTAGAAACCTGCCCAAAAACTCCTGTTTTCCTGTGCTTTGCAAGGGGCTTCTCTCCACACTCCACGCTGTCAAGCATACTTCTAACCCGTATTTCTGCCTCTGAAAAATGGCTTGGACCAGTAATGCTGGTACCGATCAAAGCAACTGCAATGGTGACAGAGCTCAAACTTCAAGATTTGCTACATAAGAATCTTGCTCTACAACAAAGGAAGTGAGGCCACAGGCTGACACCCACGGGGTTCACGGGCCCAGTGCGCACGTCTTTAAGTCCTTGAATTACGAGGCCTCCAGGGACCCTACGATAGGAGCTTGCAGGGCAATTCTGCAGGGGGCAATATAAACTCTGGCCCAGTGAACTGTCTCTTCTGTATCACAGGAGTCTGAGCATCACTAAGTAAAGGTCTCTCTCGCCCCCCTTTTTCCCAAATGGGTAGAGTTGTTTTGTTGATCAATTCCCTGAGGTACCGATAAAACTGCTGTGTTGTTGGTTGTTAAATTTACAGTTAGTGTACAGGGGTTAATAAGGAAAAGGGATGGAGGAGGAACTAGAGAAGGAATGATATCCGCTTAATTATGTACTCTGAGGCTGACAAGCAGCTTTTAAAGCTGTCTCTGCTTATAGTAAATTAGCTGACTTCAGGTGACATGCATTTACTTGCTATTTAAATCATCTTGGGCGAAAGCACGTTCACAAATGTCCACATAGGAAACAAGGCATGGAGTGCAGTCGTCAGGAGGAACTCTAGAAGTCTGCCAGGCCCAGAGTCCCCTTCTGGAAACCATCCCGTCTACAGCCTGTGCTGAAGGGCGGTCCCGTGCAGACAACGTGATCCCGTGCAACCTGGACACGGCCAGGAGAGCAGGGCACGGGCGCCCACCTCACGTGCAGCCTGGCAGCTGCACAGCAAGGCAGTGAGAAATGGACTGCACCAGGCCTCCTAGACTCACAGGCCAGGGAGGCTGCGAAGGTCTCGAGAGCTCTGAACAACGAGTGGACTGCAGACAGGAATGCACTCATTACTTCTGATCTTCTCACCAACGACCCAAACTAAGTGTCATGATCCCCACTGTGCAGATGAGCAAACGAAGGACAGGTAAAGGGAGTCCTCTCCTGCAGGCCACCGCTCACTAACCCTGAGCGCCTCCCGCACTGCCCAAGACCTCGTGGGCATCTCCAAGCCTGCCTTCGCCTGGTTCTGGAAAATGACTTCCTTCATTTGGCTAGGTTTTCAAACCTTCCTTTCACCTTTGGAGACAGAAAGTTTTCTCCATCTCACGTGGGAGGCAATTTGTGTGACGAAATTTCCACGGGAGTAAAAGCATGACAGTGTTTCCCATCTCGTCACCTTCCTACTCTGTGGAGCTTTTCTAAGCCTGTCACGACCAGACTGTCCCATGTGCTGTGAACTTAGACCTGCTCCATGCAAACCACGGCCGGGGGAGGCAGGGGTAACACGAAACGGTGCTCAGTTTGTTATTTATTACCTACGTGGCTGAAAGATCATTTTCGCACTGCTACAGAACAAACAGAACTGTGATTTATAACTCACACGTTCTGTAGCCCACAGAATACATGTTCAAACGTTACCAAAGTGCTTTCTTGGAAATGTTGACTCTAAGTATCTTGTTAGAGAACTAAAACTATAGATTGTATCTACAACAGTCAACTGACAAGATCTGCCCGAAGTCAGACCGGCTGTGAGGGAGTTTTCCACGTAATATGCTGGCAGAAAGCATTTAATACCAGTTTTTTTCTACTTTAGACAAGGTAACATTTTAAACAAGGTAACATTTTAAACAAGGTAACATTTTAGACAAGGTAACATTGCGTTAGAATTATTCGGAGGAAATTCCTTGTTTGGCCTTTATTTTAAAGTGATGCAAGTAGAATAATTTCAAAATTGGGGCTATTACATGGACAATGTCGTATTTTAGGGACTGAAGCCTAGTCCACGGTTCACAGCACGTGTGGCTTGGGTCGGACCAGCGCGCGCAGCGGTGCCCTGTGGGGAGTCTCCACGGTGCGGAGCCCCTGGCGGCCCCTCGGGGTCATGCCCGCCCGGAGCTGTGTACCTGGGTGCCGTCTCTGTTCAACAGCAACGCTTTCACGTTGTCTGTGTGCCCTTTAAGCTTCATCAGTTTTGCACACGTTCTTGGATCCCACACTCTTAAAACCTGTAGATTTTAACAAAATATCACACAAACTGAGTACACACGATCAAATTTAAGTGACAGATGACTTCTATAAATCGAATGGCTACCATTAAGTGCTGAGAGTGAAACACTGCTCCTGTCCCGGGACGCTGTCCAGGGGCCCCTTCCCCAGCAGCACGCGGCCTCCTGAACGTCAAAAATGCACCGGCCTCCCCGCCCCGCCGACCGCCCCTGCCCACACAGGACAGTAATTACGGTTATGCTCGCATTTGTTCAAATAAAGCCTTTCTTTTCAGCATTCCACCCGGCAAAACCACTGTCTATATATTTAGTAATGACACAGATCAAATCATTTTGGTTTCTCTGCTTTCCAGTGTATTTTAACACCAGGTGAGCTCCCCCTTACCTTCTCAGTGGACCCGGATACAATGATTGTTCCCAGTTGATTCATCGCCAGGCTATAAATGGAATCTTTGTTCCCACTTAAAGAAGAAGCTATTAAGGATAAACGGAGCTGGGTGTTAACAAAATCATCAGGTGTTTGTTTAGTAGCTAGTCTACAAAAATTGCAAGTTTAATTATTCAATTTGGAAAATCTTATCTTTATGAGTGCTCTAAAGAAAAGGAATCTGTAATAGAGATAATTCTAAGCAACATTATTATCAAGTTTTACATTTTTCTGGACTTGAGGAAATACAAGCGCTCAATAAACATCTGTGAAATTGAACCGAACTGCCATTAAAAACTGCCCATATGATGTATTTTCACAGATATACATGTGCCAATATATATGCAAAATGCGTCCAAACTCACTATTTTCAAATATAAATCAAAGTAAACATATTTTGTTTATTGTCACCTACCAAGTCTGATTTTTTAAAAAAGGTATTATTAAATGATTAAAAAACACAGTAAAATAGGACTCTCGCACATTATTTGTGGGGGAATAACTTGGTACAACTCTTCTGGGGGGGAACTAGACAATAGGTTTATGCCCTTTGATTCAGAACAAAGTGCCAATGGGGTGAAAAAACTGCATATAAAACCATATAGTATGATCCTAACTTTAGAGTAAAGAATAAATATAAACGAACATACTGAGAAGTGATGAGTAAAGGAGTTAATATATGTAGTTAGAAAAGTAACTGCTTGTAGAGAGTGCTAAAGAAATGTTAGCTATTAGTATTATTTCTATAGTCATAACAAACTCATGTGAGATCCTCTCTAAACAATTCTGGGCAAGACGTATCCGTTGCTGAATCCATGTCCACTAAGCCTGCTCTGTGACCTTGGGGCCAATCATGGTTTCCTTCGTTCCCGAACCCATGTCCACTGAGCCTGCTCTGTGACCTTGGGGCCAATCATGGTTTCCTTCGTTCCCGAACCCATGTCCACTGAGCCTGCTCTCTGACCTTGGGGCAATCACGTTTTCCTTTGTTCCCTCTTGCCAGTGCCTCTCTGACACAGTTCTTTATATCGAGTGAGCGCCAAATGATAGGCCATGACAGCCCCAGCAGGGACCAGCTGCTGAATCACTGAGATAGTGTACAGGTGACAAATCAGTAAGAACAAGGGAAGAACAGTGTTTAAGACCTTCACATATTTCCTGGGGGGAAGAGCCTCCCAACTTGCCCCTGTTGGCACACACTAGGTTTTATGAGAACTGCTTTAGCTATGTCAATGTGAGTCGTGCCAAATTTAATCTATAATACAGGGATCTAGATAGTTCAGGCCTATATCCTGAACACAGACATTCCAGACCAAACTTAGCTAAAAATGTGCTTCTTAGAGACCTTTCTGACACCTGGCCCAGAGGGCACTAGTAAGTGGGCTGGGCCAAGCATGAGGCTGAGTTTCAAGGCTAGACTTGCACGCGTCTGACCTGGTAACCTGAGATCTCTCAGCAGAGGAAGCACTCGTGCTGTAACCTGCTGTGAATGTCTCTAAATTGCCTCCGGAAGCAGCCTAGCCTCCCTGAACTCTTCTGGAATTGGCTGGATTCTTTAAGGCTGCTCAGAAAAGGCCCTGCAAAATTAGCACTGAAAACCTTTTCTTTCTTTGCTTTGGGTATTTTCCATCTTGGTCATTAACTCAACGGTCCTTACTATATAGTAACACTTTTGAAAGTCAGAAACTGCCTACTTTGTCAGGTAATCACCACCTGCATCTCTCTGCTGAGTGTGCGGCTCTGGGCCAGGCAATGCTGTGGGAGAGACAATGCAGCAGTGAGACAGACTCTTCGGTCCTGCAGGAGCTTACACTTTAGCTAGGGAGCTGAGATATGCACATACACAAACATGCCAGGTGACATCTGGAGAAGCTGCCATTTTAAACTGCAGCAAGAAACTAGGGTTTCTCCCTTTTCAAACATTCTCTTCAGGGCTAGAATGCTATACGTAGAAGCGCTCTCTAGGTGAGCCACTGTAGTGATGCAAGCTCATCAAAGATGTTTTATAAGCCATTCTTCATTTATGTCAACTAGGAGCACTGTTAAAGAAACGTATTCAGACACCTTACTTGTGACAGTGTTATTTGAGGCAGTCAGTGCTGTTAGAGTATTCACATCCCACAGGAATATCTGTCTGTCCAGCCCAGCCGACGCTACCAGTTCTTTATCCTTGGCATACGCTAAGGCCTTTACATAATCCTGCAACAGAACACATGCACCATGATTGACACTGCAGATCGACAAGAAAGTGAGCCACATAAAGTACTGAGATTCCAATATTATGCTGAATACACTGAAGATTATGTTAGTTTTTTACCTTATGTGTCCTTAATGTTGACATGCAAAACCCCTTATGTGCATTCCATACTTTTACTGTCGTGTCAGAGGAAGCAGATATCACTAGAAGAGGCAAAGAATTAACAAACACCTTCGTGGGATAACTTATCACCATTTCAAAGACATCATAAATCAATGTAACATTATTTCAAACTAATGTTTCTATTATACATATACATATTATTATACATACTTTAATATTTATAATATTCCTAACATTAATTCAAATATCTGTTCACGTTAATACACATATGGTACATATATATCTAAAAACTTTTTCTAGAACCTACTGTCTTCTGTCTCAAATTTTTTTTTAAGAGGCAGGAGAAACGTCTTTTTAAAGTTCCAGTTGAACTAGTTTAATTGGGGAAATTCTTCTCACACAGACTGAAAAACCAAGAAATGGATCTTACCATAATAAGAGAAGAAAGGTATATTAACAAGGTTAAAAGAATACATATTAATCTATTTATATGCAGTTCAAAGGTAGGTAAAACCAATCGCCAGTGTTCAGAAGACAGACAGAGGAGCAGGTACCTCGGGACAAAAAGTAGGGACCGAGAAGGTGGCACGGGTGGGGGTGGGGAAGGCGGTGCTTCTGGTAAAGCATTTCTTGGTATGTGTGTTTACCTTGCAAAATCTTATTATTGAGCTGTGCTGTCAAGGTGTGTAATCTTTTCTGTATGTACGTTCTATTTCATGAAAAATATATCGAATTAAATTAAAAGCTTCCTGAGCGCAATAATCAAAGAAGCACTCACGTGTTTTCCCATTACAGCAGAGCACGATGTCGTTCACCCAGTCGGTGTGGTGCTCCATAGAGGCTATGTATGGATCTTGCTGGAATTAAAAGAAAATCATAAGGATGTCATTAGTTTATCTGAGCGAGTAAAATATATTACAAATTATAAATCTGTCCAGATCCTTCAGTTAGCGTGGCATGCTGCTCTAAGGCCTTAAAATCGAGCCCCCAGCAACTGACGCTCCCAGGTAGCAGGTGCAAATGGAAGGTTTGTCTCAGGACGGTGTCATTCTGGACAAAAGCCCAGGTCTCCGTGACAAATGCTCAGTTTTCCTGCCCTGAGCCAGAGAAGGCAACAGTGCTCCAGGACAGGCTCGCTAGAGCGGGCGGGGAGGGCCCACATCTGCAGGCTGGGCCTTCTGACCCAGTCGTGGTGAGGGCTCCCAGCAGACAGCGGGGCAGAAAGGAGGCGGAGGGGGGCTATGAGGAGCCTGGCCCGACGGCAGAGGGAGATGCACACTTTCGTTTTCAGCTTCCCACTGCGGGTTTCACCTTCTGAATTAAATGTTTTCCTTATGGTACCTGTGGTCCTTCAGAGAAGAAATGGAAGCCAAGGGCTAAAGGAGTAATAGCCTGGTCTCCATTTCAACTCAGTAATTGGAGATTCTTCTATGCCTCTCGCTGGCTTTTATAAGTAAGTTCTTATTTACCAGGAGAGGCTTGTAAAGAAGAATCTATAGTTACATCCTACGCCCAAGACTGGCAACTGCAAGACACTTCCTGGGCAAAGAGAACCATACAAGTCTATTTGAGAAACTATGCTATTCAATCTTGTCATAAAATGAAGACCAGAAAAAAGATGTTTGAGGGCAGAACAGGGACCTTTCTAGATTCTTCCAGGTTAGTTTTTGTGAATATTTTTTGTAACTTGTCTGAAATACTATTAATTCCCAAAAAGGTGCCATTGCAATTTAAATATAAGTTCCAAAAAGCACTTAAAAGCCACGATTTCCTTACTTTCCATGTTTCTGACGTTGAACCACCACTACTGCTACTGGTTAAAGAATCCAAACCCCACCAGACCAAAGGCCATTTAAAGAAACATCATCTAGCACGTGCACAAAATAGTGGGTGTTTTCTGGACTGAACATCAGACTTGCAGAGCTTGCCAAGAAGACACAGACTTTTAAAACTACAAGGTTTGGCACCAGAGAACTGAAGTGAGGCTCTAAGTCTCTGCCACTTAGTAGCTACTTAACCCTGGGTTCTCTGAGCCTGTTTTCCCATCCATGCACACGGACATAAGAGCTGCCCTGAAGGAATATCATGAAAATTAAGATCATATTGGATATGAAAGTGCTAAGAGTGTATGGTACACAGCCAGGAGCTCAATAAATGTCGCTTTCCTTCCCTGAATCTTCCTGTCTATGTCATTTACAATACAGGCATTTAAACGAAATATAAAGAGAGTTCATTGCCATTTGACAGGGCACTTATCTTTCCATACACTGAAATCCTGGTCCCTCTTTAAGAAGGCAGACTTTAAGTCTCCTAAGGAAGGGGAGCATGTTTTGCCTTCATACTTTTACACCGGCCTTGTGCTATCAAATTAGGTCCTATGGGTTTTGTGGGCATCCTAATCACTTTTAAATGAAGAAATCAAGTATTTGTTCAAGATTAGTTACAAATGTAAAAAGCACAGTCGACCTTTTCTTAGCAGCAGTGGAAATGGTTGCCAAGAAGCTTTTTGGGAACACATTTAAAGCAGAAAAAAAAATTGTTACGAATAGTCCCCCTACCAGGCAAATCTCTTCGTTCCCTTCTAGCAGAGAGCTCTTATCGCACGCCTGGTTTATGGAGGCCCTCCCTTAGCTAGATACTTCTGAAACTCCCCTGGGGTGTTTTCTCAAGGACTCACAGAATCCTGGGTGCAGTTTACCTTTAAAGGGTGTGCCAAATACCTCAGTGCTCAGAGGTTACGCCTGAAGCTATGAAAAGCACGCTGTATCAGACCAAATTGTACGGAGCACAGATTTCAAATGTTAGTGGGACCCCTGCCTTACCTTGTGCTGGTTGACGCTCCAAATCCTGATGATGGAGTCCCGCCCTGCCGTGAAAAGCCTGTTGAGTGCTGGGTCCAGCTGCAAGGCGTTGACTCCATTTCGATTGTACTTCTCCACTTCATCTCGAATAACATAGGAAACCTGACAAATACGTCAACATGCGCTCTCTGTGAAATTACGAACATGCAGTAGAATACAGCCTACTACTAGTGGTCAATCGCAAATTCAAAGTCCCACATTTTCCAATATAAAACTTATTTTCAATCCAATAAACATCTCACGTTACTCTGTAGAGACTGAAGGGCTGAGGCGAGAAGAATGACATTAGTAACAGCCTTGTCCGAGATGAGCAAGTCTGATGCTAAACTACCGTAACTGCTTCCTAACTGGCCTCCACTCCCACTCTGGTTTGTCTTTAATCCATTTCCCACAGAGCAGCTGGAAACTGGAATGCGTTTCACTCCTGCCCCAAGCCCCCTCCAGTGCTTACTCGGCTGGAGTCGTGATTTGACCTGAACTCAACACGGCGGCCTCAAAGGCCTCGCTCACCTCTCCTGCTGCTCCTCTGGGCTCACCATGCCCTGTCCCTTGCACCCACGGGGCCTCCAGCGCATTAGTGACACGTGCAAATCCCCTCTGTCTGGAAGTTCTTCTTCCCCTCTGTCTGGCCAAGTCTACTGCAGTCTTCAGGTTTCTGTTTAAATAATGCTTCCTCAAAAATGCCTTCTCTCACCCGGCAAGCAAATGAGGTTTTGTGTTCCTCTAACACACTAAACCTTTCCTTCAGAGGACTTTACACTAGGTGTTTTTACAGGTAAGTTCTGTCTGCTTCATGTGAAACTCAAGAGAATCAACCAAAAGCAATTACAATTATGAAAAAGTCAACAAGCTGGCTGGCAGCCAAAAGCAAAACCTTCTAATTTAATGAAACAAACAATTAAGACTATAACAGGAGGTGTGGAGGAGGGAGAGGGAGTGGGGAGACCTATTCACAATAGCAACAAGAATAAACACCTAAAACAACTGACAGAACAAGGTACATGGAAGAAAACTTGAATAAAGGAGGTACCATATTGTAGCACAGGAAGATTCAAAATTAACAACTGCTTTCTAAATTTGTGAATTCAATCAAACTTTGGCCAGAATCCCACTGGATTTCTTTCTAGAAGTTGGCAAAATATACAGGTTTTTATTTTTTTAGGGAATTCCCAGTTATTTTTTTAAATAAAAGCATATTCTTTAAACATCTTAAAAGATATCGTAAGTCTAAAGCTACCATAATTACAATGGAGTACCACAATAGGAATATATAAAAGAATCAATGGAATAAAACGAAATTTGGAAACATATTTTCCTATTATAAATTTTTTATTTTGATGTAAACATAGTGTTTCAAATCAATGAAGGCATGATACATTATTTACAAATTACCTAGGAGCATCTAGTGATTCTATTGGGAAAAATTACATATGCCTTTCCCAAATCTTAAACAAAATGAATTTTCATGTGGACTAAAGATTGAAAATGAATAATTTAATCATAAAATACTTAAAATAAGACAGGTGAGTATTTACATGGACTATATTGAGAAGGCTCTGCCAACACAATAAGACAGCAATCTTCACAAAGGAAAAGAGCACCGCTGTTCAGACCAAATACAAGTCAGAACCTTTCCTAAGCACACAAACGTCCTCCGCAGCACCATCCACTAGAGCCGAAAAGTGCAACGACTCAACGTCCCTCAGCGGACAAAGGCGGGACCACACGCGGTCCACGCGTGCAGCGCGGTACGGTTCAGCCACGAAAGGAGGGAGTGCCGACAGATGCCACAACATGAGTGAGCCTTAAAACCATGCTGAGTGAAAAAGGCCAGTTATAAAATGCCACGTATTTTCTGATTCTATTTATTCTAAATGTCCAGACATGTAAACCCACAGAGACTGAGGGTAGGTCAGTGGCTGCCAGAGGCCTGGAGGGGAAGGGAACGGGGAGTGACTGTTAACGGGCGTGGGGCTTCTTTGCAGGGCGGTGACAATGCTCTGGAGTTAGGTGATCAACACTCAGACTCGTGAGTATATTAAAAACCATCAAGTTGTATAGTTTAACAGGGTGACTTTATATTATATTAATTTTATACCTCAGTAAAGCTGTTATTTTTTAAAAAATGCCTTCTGAATATCAAAGAATAGTATGGGCAAGGGTAAAAGGCAAACATCTAACTGGAAAAATAATGAAATAAATACAAAAGACAAAAGTTTACTCTTGACACCATACCAAGATTCCTTACAAAGCCATAAGAACAAGTCATCGTGAGGAGGACATTTCTTAACCAGAAAATGGCCAATGGACATAAATAATCAGTGAAGTGAGAAGGTTGTATATATAGGCAACAGGGGTGAGTCCTTGGATACAAGTACCTGAAATTGAAATCCACTCAAACCAGCTTAAATAAAAAAAGAAAGAAAAAAGAATTTAACATAAGGATACAAGATCTCTAAAAGCCCAAGGGCAGGAAATACAGTTCTGACTCATAAAAGACATTTTAAAATAAAATCATGGCACGTCTCTGCTGAAGCCTTCCAAAAGCTTCCATTACATTTAAAGTTCAAATTCCTCACGCGCTCCAGTTCCGCCCTGCATCCTCACGCTCACCTCCAACTAACCTGCCCCAGCTTTTCCAAAGGCCGTCCGTCACTCCAAACTCCTTTCTCACTCCAAACTCCTTTCGGCTCCTCAGACACATCAAGCTCTTTCTTCTCCCCACCCCTTCACACTTACTGTTCCCGGTGCCACCTCTCCAGCCCCCACCAGAATGCGTCCCCCAGCTTCTATCTTGTCCGGCCACCTTAGCCCTTCAGGTCTTGGTGGAGATGTCCCCTCCTCTCAAGGGCCTTTCCTGATCTCCACCCCCTATCACTCACCCTACTCACTTCTTTCACAGTTGTACCACACTCCATGTTTATCTTTTTTGTCCCAGCTTCTTCATTAGAGTAAAAGTTCCTAGACAGCAAGGAACTTGCCTACCTTGTTCCTCCCACCCCTCATTACAATGTCCAGCATAAAAGACATTTGATAAATATTTGTTACATGAATCACGTATTAGCCATCAGAAACCAAGTTGGCTTCAATGTCAATTTCAGTTTCTTTCAATCTCTTTCTCTGGGGCTTTATGGCCCCTGATCTGCTTCTCAGAACACATTCCCTTTCTTTAACAGAGACTATGTCGCATATATGAATCTTAATTTTCAAATTCCTGGGAGATTGCCTGATTGGTCCAGTGGGAAAGGGTCAGAGAATAACATGAGTGTCAGTCCTTCTTCCAGGTGGAAAGTAATTCTTAGCTAGACAAGTCTGGCCCACCTCTTTAAAGGTATCCATCACAGATGTGTGATTAAAAATGGCAAAGAGCCTGGCTGGTGTGGTTCAGCGGACTAAGCACCAGCCTGTGAACCAAAAGGTCGCTGGTTCGATTTCCAGTCACGACACAGGCCTGGGCTGAGGGTAGTTCCTACCGGGGTGCATGTGAGAGGCAACCCATCCATGTCTCTCTCACATTGATGTTTCTCTCCCACTCTTTCTCTCTCCGTTTCCTTCTCTCTAAATATAAAATAGACAAAATCTTTTTGAAAAAATGGTAAAGAATTAGAAATATCCTAATTGGATAAAATTTGGCACATCCACAAAACAATACTATTTAATCATTAAAAATATTGACGTAGATGTAGACTGATTGGCATGGGAAGAAAGCCATGCTATATTTAAGTGAAATTTGTGTGGTCCAACACAGCCATGTATAATAATCATTACTGTAAAGTGTTCTGAATATTAAATATATATTTAAAAATAAATATACAAGTTTGGAAGGACCTACACATATAAAACCACGAGTAGTTATTCCTGAGTAATGGAGTTATGGTGACTGTCACTCACGCTTTTTTTACATGGTATTTCACAATGGGCATACGTTACTTAGTATTTTGAATTTATAATTTAATTTTTATCCAAGTAATTTGTGTCTGTGTTCAGGAAATCAAATAGTACTGAGAGACTGTAATGAAAACCCACCTGCCTACTGTCTGTGTAATACTCCCCTTACCGATCTCAATCCCTAGAGGGAACTAATGTCCACTCTGTTTCTTCTGGATAGTTGTTGAATTTCTTGAAATATTGTCCTTATTCTACAGCTTTCTGGTTTATCCATGTTAGGTTTACCTATCTACTCAGGCTATGATGGATTAGGCTATAATTCTGAAACTACCCCAGTAACTCCTCCCCCTACTCTTCTGATACAGATACACTGCTACTTTTGGTTGAATGAACAACCAGTACTACAGTGGCTGACTTCGCAATTCCTATCTACTGACTAGCTAAGTACTACATGATGAATACATTTCCTTCTTCAGAGAGTGTTTTGTTTTCCCTTGAGTTCTATCTTTCTTCTCTTCTTCGATGGTTTCCTCTAACTTCAATTTTCTTTAACTGCCGTACCATATTAGACATTCGAGCAAGAACCCACCCACCCCCTTTCCCCAGAAGGCGTCCGCCCAGTGTCCTCCACCTTCCGCTCCAGCCTGCGCTGGCTGCCCTGTAGGTCCGCTGACACAGCTGTCATCTTCTGGGCTTCCCTGCACTGCTCTTCCGGGCTAGAGCCATTGTTTCCTGAATCCCAATGTCCCCTTTGTTTGTTTGCTCCCCGTGCTGCTGAAGTACATCCCGGGACCTTAAGAGACTGACACAGGAAAAGGTACACGGGAGGTGACTTAGCCCTTGCCTGCCTGGGAAGGTCTTCACCTTTACACTCGATTTGGTGGGGCAGAGGAGTCCACGTAGAAAAACTTCCCTCGGCTTTTGAAGGCACTGCTCTAACTTCCTCCAGCATCCCGTGTGGCCACTGAACTCAACGTCATTCTGTTCCATTCACACGCAAGCGATTCCACTTTCATTCTCTCCTGCATCACCACCAGTACCCACCTCCACCCCCACCCCACACACGCTCTTAGGATCTTTCTGGGAACTTTTCTTGTAACAATTCATTAATAACTCTGTGTTTTGTGTGTGTGTGTATTTCTTAAAACTCCTATCAGTCAGATGTTGGAACTTTCAAACTGCGCTTTCATCTTTTATGCATTCTATATTATATC